AGCTATATCACTCTTCATTTCTTCTTGATGCTTACATAAGTTATTGATTTTTTTCATCCATTTCTTCTTGATTCTTGCATAAGTTGTTGATTTTTTCCTCCATCCGGTTTATGCACTCTAGGACCCTTATTCTGAATTCTTTTTCTGACATGTTGCATGCCTCTGTTTCACTTATCTGCTTTTCTGGCAAGTCCTCCTTTTCTTTCCTTTGGGGGTTTCTTTGTCTACCCATGTTTGATCTCACCAACAGATCTAGATGTTGAGTTGTTCAGGGGCTGCTCCTTGGATGGCAGTGGCTCCTCAGGCTGTGGTTGCTCCTTGGGTGGTTGTGGTAGCAGCTGCTCCTCAGTTGGCAGCAGCTCCTCTGGTGGGTGCTGCTCACAGCCATGGTGGCTCCTCTGGCTGGTTGGGGGAGGCTTCTCACACAGCTGCTGATCCTCAGACAGAGGGTGTGCTGATCACGAGGATGCTGTTCCTTGGATGGGGGCGGGCTACACACACAGCTGCTATTCCTTTAACTGGGGCGGACTGTTCACGTGGCTGCTGTTCCTTGGATGGGGGTTGGCTGCATGCTGCTGTTGTTCCTCTGATATGGTGGGCCACTTGTGGGGCTACTGCTCCTTGGACATGGGCAGGTTGATTGCAAGGCTGCTGCTCCTCGGATGGGGGTGGGCTGCTCGCATGGCTGCTGCTCTTTGGATGGGAGTGAGCTGCACGCATGGCTGCTCCTCCTCAGCTGGGGATGGGCCACTCACACGGCTCCTGCTCGTCGGACAGGTGCAGGCTGTGTGTGGCTCTGCTTCTCGGACCAGTGTGTGCTGCGCAGGGCTGCTGCTCCTCAGACATGGGCAGTCTGCTCGTGTGGCTGCTGCTCCTCGGACCACGGTGGGCTGCTGCTGCTCCTCAAATGGGGATGGGCTGCTCACAGAACTGCTGCTCCTCAGTTGGGGGCAGGCTGCTCACACAGCTGCTGCTCCTCGTATTGGGCAGCCTCCTCTGGCGGCTGCTGCTGCTTGGACGAGGGCAAGATGCTTGTGCAGCTGCTACTCCTCGGACTGTTGCAGGGTGCAGGCTGTGCGCAGCTGCTGCTCCTCAGATGGGACAGGCTGTGCAGGGCTGCCGCTCCTCAGACATAGGCAGACTGCTCGTGCGGCTGCTGCTCCTCTTATCGGTCAGGCTGCTCGCATGGTTGCTGCTCCTTGGATGGGGGAGCGGGCCACTCACACAGCTGCTGCTCCTTGGACAGGGGCAGGCCACATGAGGCTGCTGCTCTTAGGCCTGGAGCAGGCTGCTCACGGGGCTGATACTCCTTGGACAGGAGCATGCTGCTCATATGTCTGCTGCTCACATGGTTGCAGTGCCCTGGACTAAAATGTTGGGCTGGTCAGAGGGGAGCATACTTCAGAACTCACAGGAACCTGCGCCCAGGGTGGCTGGAGACTCTGTGACCGTGAGACCACAGCCGAGGTAGCAGGTCCCTGGCAGGGGTGGCTATAGAGTCCCAGGTATTACCTGAGGGCACCCTGGGTGGAGGTGAGGCTGGGCTCTCAGTTACATCAGCTCACCCCTTTGAAAAAGCGAGGCCTCTGAAGAAGAGCTGGCCTCCTGGTCCTGTTTGCAATGGTAGCAGAGGCTGCCTAGTTAGGCTAGCCCAGTTAGCCTGCCCCCGAAGGTCCTGCAGGGTCTAACTGTGCCTCATTCACTCACCCACACACACACACCCCACACACAACCACACACTCCTCTTTTGCTCCCTTGCTGCCACCTTCTTCCTGCCTCTGTGTCTGGGTCTAGGGCAGTGATGGCGAACCTATGACATGCGTGTCAGAAATGACATGCGAACTCATATTTTTGGTTGATTTTTCTTTGTTAAATGGCATTTAATATATAAAATAAATATCAAAAATATAAATCTCTGTTTTACTATGGTTGCAAATATCAAAGAATTTCTATATGTGACATGGCACCAGAGTTAAGTTAGGGTTTTTCAAAATGCTGACATGCCGACCTCAAAAGGTTCACCATCACTGGTCTAGGGTGTAATTGACCCGTTCGTTAATGAAGTTTCCTCTCCAGGTGTCTGGTTATGTGGCTTGCTCTCTAGCACTTTAGCCAGACAGGATAAAATTCACCTTAACAAGACATGACCCAAAGGGAACAAAGCATGAATGTACTCACGACACCGATAACCCCAATATAAGTGACCACCTGAGAAAAGAGAATTAGGGGAGAGAAAAGAGAGCACAAATGATATCTAAGAGAGAGAAAAAAAGATAGAAGAGAAAAGAAAAAGAAGAATAAATATATATATATATATATATATATATATATATATACACATATATATATTCTCCAGGGCACTGCAACCATGAGAATATATATATATATATATATATATATATATATATATATATATATATAGAGAGAGAGAGAGAGAGAGAGAGAGAGAGAGAGAGAGAGAGAGAGAGAACACCACAGAACCAATAGATAAACCAAACAAATACAAACACCAAACACCCAGTAAAGAGGGTGGGGACAGAATCTGTAGAGGCTGAGCTTTTCTGGGGAACTCTACCCTTCCCGCAGCAAACTGTCTCACCAGCTGAGTCTCCTTCGCCAATTCAGGGTGGATGTTATTTCAGCTGCTCATTCTATTTGCTCTGGGACAAGCCGTGGGACGCGTCCACCTATTCCACCGCCATCTTGTCTCTCCACACTTTAGTATCTTATTGGGGCTCAACTGTGTAAATGCAGGAGTGTCTCCAGGCTCCTGGAGGAATGCTGGGAAGGCCTCTCTGTCCTATTAAGGCATATCTAAATTGCAAGGGGGTTAGTAAAGGCTAATGATCAAAATCACAGGCTTACTAGTGTACAATTTGGACAGAGGTTTACCTGATTAAAAGACTACTTTTGAAAAAGAAAGGGGGTGCTAAACAAACTCTAGGGAAATGGTTACCTCGGGTGTGAGAAGGAGACAGGACAGCTGAGACTACACAAGGATCCTATATAATAAAAGCCTAATGTGCAAATTGTCCTCTTGGGCGGTCTTTTTGACTGGGATTTTGACTACTCACTATGATTGCGCTGACCACCAGGGAGTGGCGCGGACATGGCGGGTGTTGGCGATGTGGTGCTGGCAGCAGATGGCAGTGGAGGAGCTGCCGGCCCCAGTGGGCCCCAATGAGAGTGGGACCATAGCAGGATGGTGGAGCAGGTGAGCAGGAGGCACCAGGCCAAGGCAGGTGCAAGCAGGGGCCTGATCGCCCCACCAATGGCCCCACAGATGGCAACCAGTGGTGGAGGTGGGGGGCAGGGCTGTTGCCTGGCTCCCAGGCGCTGAGGGAGCTGTGCTGTGGAGGCCTGACCCTGATTGATCACCCCACAGGCAGGATGATGGAGCTGGTGAGGGGGCAGCACTAGGCCATGGTGAGGTGCCAGGCGGGACTGCGGGGCTGCGGGGCTGCGGGGCTGCAAGCCTGGGGGCGTGAGCTTGGGCCCAATCCCCACAGGCCACCCCAAGGGACCCCACCTGTGCATGAATTCGTGCACCAGGCCTCTAGTATTTACATAAGTTACTGTCAGTGTGCTGGTTCTCAAGTTGGATGGCCGGTTCATAGGTGTTCACTATATTAACTAATAAACAGACAAGTAAAAGAGCTACTTTGTGGCCTTAAAAGTCAGGATGAAAGGAAAGGAAACAAAGTACAAGAAAGGAAGACAAGGAAAGGGAAGGCTCTGGTACCTGAAAAACTTGGATTCAAATACCAGTTCTGCCACTTACTGGCTATGATTAGACCTCAACTTCATTATTTATAAAATGGAAATTGTATTAAATTAAATCATATGAAATTAGTAATATTTAATCTTTTTTTTTGCTACAATCTACCTCCCAGGGTTGTTGTAAAGACGAAATGAGGAAAAGCCCAGACTGAACAAGCATTAAGAGCTCACTAAATGCCAAAACCAGTTTGGCTCAGTGGGTAGAGCGTCGGCCTGCGGACTGAAAGGTCCCAGGTTCGATTCCGGTCAAGGGCATGTACCTGAGTTGCGGGCATATCCCCAGTGGGAGATGTGCAGGAGGCAGCTGATCGATGTTTCTCTCTCATCGATGTTTCTAACTCTCTATCTCTCTCCCTTCTTCCTCTCTGTAAAAAGTCAATAAAATATATTTTAAAAAAAAAAAGAGCTTACTAAATGTTGTGTTATTTTTCTCTTCAATTCTTACAAATGTGTCAATATTTCTTCACATGAAGCTACTTCTCTTTTCTCTAATAACTTCCCTCCTACCTCTATCAAAAGTGATGAAGAGCCCTAGCCTGCTTGGCTCAGTGGATAGAGCATCAGCCTGTAGAACAAAGGGTCCTGGGTTTGATTCCAGGCAAGGGCATGTACCTTGGCTGCAGGATCCTCAGGCCCTGGCCCTGGTCGGAGGCAACCAATCGATGTGTTTCACATCAATATTTCTCTGTCTTCCCCTCTCTCTTCCACTCTCCCTAAAAATCAATGGAAAAATATCATTGGGTGAGGATTAAAATAATAATAATAATAAAAGTTTTTTAAAAAAGTGATGAAGAATTCCAAAGTCAATCTTTGGATTATACATAACTACTGACTTATGGGAAGTTGTAAATTATATATAATTTTTGCATTCTTATTTTTTTAATATATTTTTATTGATTTCATAGAGGAAGGGAGAGGGAGAAAGAGATAGAAACATCAATGATGAGAGAGAATCATTGATTGGTTGCCTCCTGTACGCCCCACACTGGGGCTCAAGCTCACAACCCGGGTATGTGCCCTAGGCCGGAATCAAACCTGAGACACTTCAGTCTGCAGGCCAACACTGTATCCACTGAGCCAAATTGGCTAGGGCTACATTCTTAATAAAGCTAGATATTTTATTAAAAATATAACACCTCCCAAAGAAAAAAAATATATATATATAACACATACACACACAGATATAATGATATATACTTATATCCTTGTTCTTTCTTTAGCTGACTTTCCTGTCCCAAGTATAACTGAGCTTGGAAACCCAGCTACAAACATCAAAAGAATAATTTGTTCAACCTCCGGAGGTTTTCCAAAGCCTCACCTCTCCTGGTTGGAAAAGGGAAAAGAATTAAATGCCATCCACACAACAGTTTCCCAAGACCCTCAAACTGAGCTCTACACTATTAGCAGTGAACTGGACTTCAATGTGACCAACAACCACACCTTCATATGTCTTGTCAAGTATGGAAACTTAACAGTATCACAGATCTTCAACTGGCAAAAATGTAAGTCACGTCCTGGGAAGTTTCTACTGTGGAGAACCTAAAAGGAAAATAACTCAGCCAGATACAGTTTAGAATTGTGCATATCGACTTTGACTGTATTTTTTGTAGTATTTTTAGACATGCAAATAAAATGAAATAAAATGTTATGGTGACATATTAAGGTCACTCACTGTATAAGGTATGACTATGTTACTAGATTAATTTTATTTTTTTAAATAAACATTCTAAAATTAAGAGTACATATAATTGCTATTCATCAAATAGTCATCTTAGGAAGTTATTATAATAATGTTATTGTCCTTGAAAGCACTAATATTTGTCCTTCTTAGGAACTGCCCTCAGGGCTTTGGCAGTTTCTTTTTGGGCATTGCCTCTCCATGGTCCCATGATGTCAATCCCTGTCTTTTGTGGGTGACAGTAAGTTTAAAGAACTACTGGTTCATTCAGAACCAAGTCTAGTGAAGGAGATGAATAACAAGCTACTGTGGACATTCAGAACCAAGTCTAGTGAAGGAGCTGAATAACAAGCTACTGTGGACAATGCCTGAAAAAATAGGTCTTTTTTGAGCAAATACCATGACCAGATGCTTTACAAATGGTAAACTTAGAGAATCCTCCTTTCTCTAGAAGTAAAATCATCTGAAAATATAAAATGGAAAAGGTTGGGTTTATATAAATTTGTGCATGACAAACCCATAATGGGCTGTTACAAGAGAACCCAGATACTCGAGATACATGTCTAACTTGTATGCCTGATTATATAGAGAAATGACAGGCCTCTTCCACACCTCCCAGCCCCACTCCTAACAATGTGTTTTGTGGCTACATAGTAAGAAACAACACACTGAGTTTGCTATACAGTAGTATGTAAGTGTAAATATCTATAAAAAAGCTTAAGTGACCGTTGCAACTGTCGCAACCGTCACGATCGAACAGATGGCCGAACAGGCTGCGTAGGGAGACCAGGCCAGCAGGGGGTTAGTGAGGGACAACCAAGTGACTGAGCAGCAGGCTGCGTGGGGCAACCAGGCCAGCAGGGGGGCAGTTGGGAGCAACTAGGCCACGTGGGGGGGGGGGCAGTTGGGGGCCATCAGGCTGGCAGGGGGTGAGCAGTGAGGGGCAATCAGGCCAGCAGGCAGAGGTGGTTAGGGGTGATCAGGCTGGCGGGGGGGGGCAGTTAGGGGTGATCAGGCAGGCAGGCATGTGAGCGGTTAGGAGCCAGTGGTCCAGGATTGTGAGAGGGATGTTCGATTGGGATTGGGCCTAAACCAGCAGTTGGACATTCCCCAAGGGGTCCCGGATTGGAAAGGGTGCAGGCTGGGCTGAGGGGACCCCCCCTCATGCACGAATTTTGTGCACCGGGTGTCTAGTAATATATAATGTATAGTGTGTCTTATGAGTTCCTCTTGTGACTGGTAGTAAAGAAGATATTTTAGATAGTCTCTAGTTCATTCTAGTGAATGATTTTCTCTAGACCAGCGGTTCTCAACCTGTGGGTCGCGACCCCTTTGGCCATCAAACAACCCTTTCACAGGGGTCGCCTAAGACCATCCTGCATATCAGATATTTACATTACGATTCATAACAGTAGCAACATTACAGTTATGAAGTAGCAACAAAAATAATTTTATGGTTGGGTCACAACATGAGGAACTGTATTTAAAGGGCCAGAAGGTTGAGAACCACTGCTCTAGACCTTTCTGTCTTGAGGAGGATTCTTTTTTTTCCTCACTAGATAATGAGATAAAAATTCCCAGGGAAAAATCGTTCAAATATATAACAAATTTTGATGATTTTATTGATAGTCCAAACTCCTCTCTCTCAATTATCTTTATATATTCTAAAAAATGTGTAAAAATTAATCTGAATAATAGAGTAAATATTATTCATTAATTTAGCATTACTTTTCACTTAACATCATTATTTAATCAATTTTAGATTATGACTAAGGTGGGAAGTAATACACAAATTAGTAATAGCAGCTTCAGTCACATTTTATTTTAGACATTATTTATATTTGGAATATGGGTATATATGATATTCTAAGACAGAGGCTGGCAAAATTTTTCAGAAAAGGACCCGATAGTAAACAGTTTAGTCTTGTAGGTCATATGGTCTCTTGCAACAACTCAAATCAGCTATTATAGCATGAAAGCTGCCATAGACAAGACATAAATGAAGAACATTGTTATGTTCCAACAAAAATTGTATTTAAAAAAATAGGTAGTAGGCCACATTTGGCCTATGCACTGTAGTTTGCTAGTTTGTAGGAAATAGAATGTAGCCCTTCAATAAAAAGGTGGAGCCATATTTAAAGATGATATTATTAGACTACCAGCTTTATCATCTTTCCCCTAATAGGTCTTCTCTCAATTTTTCCTTCATGCTAAGGAGGAGCAGAATCCTATTCCAGTATAATTAAAATATGAGTTCTTTGCCCTATTTGGTCTACTTTCACTATGGTTAATGAAGAGATGATTAGGTGTATGTGTTTATTCACTCCTCTATTCAATCTTTAGGTAGTTATCACATCGCAAGCATTTTGCTAGATACTAGTGTTGTTTCTATGGTCAGAGAGCTTTCGTGTATAAACACTTCAAACCTTGTTGACTGGATTGAAGGCATCATTTAGAGTCAAAGCAAATAATGCATTTGTGAGTGGTCAAGGACTGACTGCATAAGCACACACGACTTAGGTGTGCAGTTCATAGAAATGTTACAAGCCAATGTGAGTAAAGCTTTACTTTATAAGTATCCCCTAAAAAACCCCACCAAATTTATTAATTAAATAAATCGGGTCTATGATTATTTAGTCTGGGCTTACCAAATTTGTTAAACCTTGATGTGCTAGAAGATGTGTGTGTGTGTCGGGGGGGGGGGGTGGTGCGTGGGGTGTGTGTGTGTGAGAGAGGGGTAAATTAGAGAGTACCACACATAGTGTCTCAAACTATCTGCGCAGATGTCCTCACATAACTATGCACTTAGATTCTGGGTCTGTTCTATGGTGTATTACCAAGTTCCTAATAGGCGTTATGACAGCGCCAGCTTACTGGTTCCTCCTTCTTTCCCTTAAACACACACCCTCTCTCTAGGCAGAGGGAGGCTTAAGGATGGATGGGAGTGGCCTCTCAGAGGAAGTCAGGTGTGGTCAGAACTGTGAAACTTTTAGAATCCCAAGAGTTTCTTTGTTATTTTGGGTGTCATTCCGGTCTTTAGTGGCAAACATTGGTAATCGCTTGAAGTCTCCATGTACTTTAGAGAAAGAGAAAATACCAGTCTTTTCTTAGTCTCCTAGGGGGTAGGTGCACTATGATCAAGTGTGTAATTTAGAACAGATATTGCAGTGTGTAGGAATTATTAGAGCCCAGGAAATCAGAGTCAAAGCAACCATTATGGTGGCTAGTAGGTAGGAGATGAGAAAAACCTGAACTAGGACAGTAGCTGCAAGAAAGTTGGAGGAGAGAAACCAAGATGGCAGCATAGGTAAACACCGGAAATTGCTGCCTTGCACAACCACTTCAAAAATACAACTAAAAGACAAAACGGACATCATCCAGAACCACAGGAAGGCTGGCTGAGTGGAAATTCTACAACTAGAAGGAAAGAGAAAAGCACACTGAGACTCAGAGGAGGTGTGGAAGTAAAGTGCAGAGGTACAGAGGCACACGTGGAAAGGGCTGGCAACTGAGGACACGGTGATCTTTTTCAATCGGGAGGGAGTCTCAAGCTCCCGACTGCTCTGAACTCCAGTTCTGGGCGAGTCTCTGGGGACCCAGACTCATACGGGGAGAAACTGGACGGTCTGGCATTGGGCAGAACTCAAGGGCGGCTTTTTCTCAGAGGTGCTTGTAGCGATTACTTTGGGAAACTGAGACCTGGGACCTCTTAGGGCAGGGCTGAGGATCAGCCATAGCTGTTTGCTCCACCCTGTTGATCCCCTGAGACCCTGCCCCACCCAAGCTGTGCGCAGAGACTTTTGTGTATGAATGGGCTGGCCCTTTGCAATGTAAAATTACCTAACAAACTGCAGCTGGGTCAGAGAGAACCAGAACATCCAAAAGAAGGCCCAAGGCCCCACAGCAGCTTGCATTGCTTCACAGCTGGGCCTCATCTGGGCACCTCCAAACCCCAAACAAAGAAGAGAAATCTGAAGATCTCTCCATAGCTCCTGCTGGGTAGCCTCAGGAAGAGGCTAAATTAGCACCTCCTTAGAGATCCAAGAGCCAGTGTACCCAGTGGTCAGAGTGGGACCATCTAGATTACAACTCCTCAGATCCATAAGGGACACACTCAGGGGCAGACTCAGTGAGCACCAAAGCCCCACTGAAGCAAGTCTTGCCCCAGAAGGGTGTCTCCAGCACAGAAGTTCCCCCATCATAGACACACCTGATTCTCACAGCCAATTGACCTGGAGGTCAATTCCTCCCAGTGATACCAACAACAATCAAGGCTTAACTACAACAAGAGTGTGCACAAAGCCCACAAAGGGGTGCACCAAGAATGTCCACCTCAGGTAATTGGGGAGGCTGAGCCACTGGGCCCCATAGGACACCTAGCACACAAAGCCACTCTATCAACACAGGGAAGCAGCCAAAATGCAGAGACAAAGAAACAGGTCACAAATGACAGAAATGGAGGAAAGCAAACTACTGGTTATAGAGTTCAAAACCACGGTTATATGGTTTTTCAAGAATTTTCTAGAAACCGCTGATAAATTTAGTGAGACCCTCGAGGATATGAAAAAGGACCAACTAGAAATTAAGCATACACTGACTAAAATAAAGACTAATATACAGAGATCCAACAGCAGACAAGAGGATTCCAAGAATCAAGTCAAAGATGTGAAATATGAAGAAGCAAAAAATACCCAACTGGAAAAGCAAAAAGAATCCAAAAATATCAAGATAGTGTAAGGAGCCTCTGGGACAGCTTCAAACGTACCAACATCAGAATTATAGGGGTGCCAGAAGAAGAGAGAGAGCAAGATATTGAAAACTTATTTGAAGAAATAATGACAGAAAACTTCCCCTACCTGATGAAAGAAATAGACTTACAAGTCCAGGAAGCGCAGAGAACCCCAAACAAAAGGAATCCAAAGAGGACCACACCAAGACACGTCATAATTAAAATGCCAAGGGCAAAAGACAAAGAGAGAATCTTAAAAGCAGCAAGAGAAAAACAGTCAGTTACCTACAAGGGAGTACCCATACGATTGTCAACTGATTTCTCAACAGAAAGTATGCAGGCCAGAAGGGAGTGGCAAGAAATATTCAAAGTGATAAATAGCAAGAACCTACAACCAAGATTACTTTACCCAGCAAAGCTATCATTCAGAATTGAAGGTCAGATAAAGAGCTTCACTGATAAGAAAAAGCTAAAGGAGTTCATCACCACCAAACCAGTATTATATGAAATGCTGAAAGGTATTCTTTAAGAAGAGGAAGAAGAATAAAAAAGGTAAAGATAAAAATTATGAACAACAGTTACATATCTATTAACAAGTGAATCTAAAAATCAAGTGAATAAAAAATCTGATGAACAGAGTAAACCGGTGAATATAATAGAATCAGGGGCATAGAAAGGGAGTGGACTGACAATTCTCGGGTGGGAAAGGGGTGTGGGGGGTGCAGGAAGAGACTGGACAAAAATCGTACACCTATGGATGAGAACAGTGGGGGCGGGTAAGGGAAGAGGGTGGGGTGGGAACTGGGTGGAGGGGAGTTATGGGGGAAAAAAGAGGAACAACTGTAATAATCTGAATAATAAAGATTTAATTTTTTTAAAAAAAGAGAGTTGGGGAAAGGAGTCGATTGCAGAGATATTCTGAATATAGATAGAAAGTCCACGGGAGCCTGCTGGGCACAAACACAAGCCTTCACTCTTGTTTGGGTAACTAATGGTGTTGCCATTCACTGAAATATGAGCATCTGTGTTAGATATGCTTTGGAAAGAATATAGTGAGTTCAGTTTTAATCAAGTGAGGTGCTGGCATCCAACCGTCTATTCAACAGCTGGAAATACAAATCTGGAGCTCAGAAATGGGATCAGAAATATAATATACAGATTTAGAAATCATTTAGTGTTTCAAACCTTAGGTGTGGATGAGATCACCCAGGAGGACTGGGGTCAGTGGCAAAAGTATGGGATCACAAATGGAACCATGGGGAACAACAAAATTTAAAGGACAAAAAGAGGAAGAAGAGCCTAAAAACAACAACAAAAAAAACAACAACAACTGAGTCACAACCAGCAGAAACAGAAGAATGTGATGTCATGGAAGTCCAAGGAGGAAAACATTTCAACTTTGGAAAGTTATCCACAAGGCTTGGTAATCAGAAATATGAGAAACAATAAGTTAGTGTTTAATATTTATTGTAAGCTATTCCAGAGAAACCGGGAGAGGATGAGCTATGAATATTCCTTTTAATTTGTGTTCCTGCCCTTTCTCCAGATATTGTTGCCCCAAGGGGTTGAAGAATAGATGTTATAGCAGCTGCTCCTAATACTCTCTACCCGCCCCCCACCTACATCCTTCCTTGTGTCCCTGTGTTCCCTCTGTTCCCTGTGTTCTGCATCTGATAGCCAGGATGATCCTACCTAATACCAAGCCACATCCACTCTTAGTTCTCTGCTGAGCCTCTTCTACCAGTCCAGAAACTCTCTAGGCTGTATGCTGAAAAATGTGTATCCGAAAATGAATGCAGAATGAATGTTTTAGGTAGTTACTAAGAGGTGTGTGTGTGTGTGTGTGTGTGTGTGTGTGTGTGTGTGTGTGTTAAGAGAACATGCTAAGAGAAAGGGAGCAAGCATGACAGAGCTGGATAAGGAAAAATATGGTACATCTAGAACACAAAATCAACTGATTATTATTAGTAATACATAGTACTATCAACTATAAAAGTGAGATTCAAAGACAGGGCGACTTTTAAAGTGTCTCCTTAGAGTCCTTTTTATGCTAGCTTAACTCAGTAAGTACAGAAGTTCAAAATTTATTTTTATTTCTCACATTCAATATCTGACATCTGGATTATCAGCTGCCCACAAGTATATATCTGATTTGTGAGTTATCAAAGAAAATGCTATCAGCTGAGTATTGGAGAGCTGACCAGGCAAAAAAGTGAAAAATACTCTTTGCAGTTCTGTCAAAATAAGAGGCATACAATGGGTATCAAGCAACTGGAAACACATTAGAGCTAATACTATCCTTTTTCCTCCACAGATGAGCCAAAAACCTCTCCTTTTAATCAGTCCTGGCTCTGGATCTTAATCATAGTGGTTGGGATTTCTGTGATCGTTGTTATTGCAGTATTTTGTTATTGCTGCCTGTGCAACAGTAAGTGCTTTCCTATTATCATCCTATAAGCCAGTGGTTCTCAACCTTCTGGCCCTTTAAATACAGTTCCTCATGTTGTGACCCAACTATAAAATTATTTTCGTTGCTACTTCATAACTGTAATGTTGCTACTGTTATGAATCATAATATAAATATCTGATATGCAGGATGGTCTTAGGAGACCCCTGTGAAAGAGTCGTTCGACCGCCAAAGGTTGAGAACCGCTGCCAAGCTCTATTAGTACGATTTAGCATCTCTCTGAGATGTTAAGCTATTCTCATTTTGGGAAAGTCTATGGAAATTTCAGTGTCTCCTTTCCATGGCACAGCAAGTTCTATTCACTCACTAGACAGACATTTCTTGAACACCTACTATGTGCCTGGCACTCTACTAGGCAATGAATTTACGGAGATAAGAAATCACGGCCCTCAAGACACTAAATTCTAATTTAGTCCTTTCATTTCCCCCCTAACTTTATAATATTGTCTTGGAGACCCTGAGGCTTGCTAACTAAGATGAAAACATTTCCGATGTAATGTAATATTCTAATTTTTTATTCAGAATTTGAGAAAAATCATAAATGACAAGATTTGGGGGACAGGAATCATTTTCTTGGAGAAGGGTAAAATGCACTAATGGAGTTAAGAAACTACATAGCCACAAGTGATTTTACCAATTCTCAATTCTACAGAATACATTTTTGGGTGAAAGATCAGGAGTAGTTGAGGAAAGAAAATACATCTAGGATATTTTTCCCTACAAGTTTAAAAGTTTGGCTTTACATTGATACTTCCTTCAATCTCTAATTAAATGAAGAGGAACTGCTAGGCCAGAGTTAAGGCCAAGTTTGCCATGAAGGAGTATCAACCTTTCTTGGAGGAGAAATCATATACACTGAGGGAAAAAACATCTACTGATTTTCTCAACCTTCAACACAAAAAATGTCAAAGGTCAGGGAAAACACTAGAGACTCTTTGTTATGAACAACTCAACCCATGGGTAGGATGAGAAAGGTCTGGTGGCTCAAGGATGGTTCTGATACAGACTACCCAGCCTTATCTCTCTAGTTCAGGTTTCCCATCCTTAGACTATGGACATTTGGAAATGAATAATTATTTGTTTTAGGGTGCTACTCTATGCATTGTAGTATGTTTAGCAGCATCCCTAGCTCTACTCCCTTTATATCAATAGCACCCCTTTCCCCAATAATGACCATCAAAAATGTCTCCAAGCATTGCAAATGGCTCCTGTTGGGGAGGGGGTGGAAATCATCCAAGTTCTAAGCCAATCTGAAGGTTTGCTGAAATATATGGGCAGTTTAAGGGAAATTCACCTATCTGAATTTTTATTTTTTGTGTTTATCTTCAAGGACCTGCTGCAAGATGGAGAGAGAGAAGGAAGAGTGGGGAGAGTATGGAAATGAAAACAATCTCCCCTATCGTCTCAGGATCTGCAGAAGCATCAGGCTGAACAGAACATTTAAAGGTAGCACCCTTTAGCTCTTCTCTACCATAGTGGGACATATGAGATCATGGCCATCAGGAGGCACAGGGTTTTCTTCCTCCCAGTAGCAAATTTAAGATCTTCTACTTCTTACCCCACCTTCTCAAAAACCTCTTTCAGATACTCTAAACAAAGGATTGGCACCTCTGTCCTCTTTCCCTGCAATTTCCTTCTTATAACCTCCTTTGCTGTTCTATTCTGCCATCTTGAAATGTTCCTCTCTTGTAAGCTAATTCAATGTCTTTCATTATATACAAAACACTAAGTTCATTTTGAAGTAATATTCCTGATCTAACTCCTTATTCTAATCATCTCATTTTCCCTGTTTCCCTCAGTACTGATGGACATAGATTCATGTCATTTATGAGTCACTCTGTACTAACTCAGCAACACCTTCATTGTTCTCTCTGCCTTTTAATAACAGAGTCATCCTATTGATCCAACCACAGAGCCAAATTTCATAAAGAATTATTTCTCATCAGGTTGGTGTGGCTCAGTGGTTGAGCATCAACCTATGAACCAGGAGGTCACGGTTTGATTCCCAGTCTGGGCAGAAGCTTGGATTGTGGGCTCAGTCCCCAGTAGGGGGCGTGCAGAAGACAGCTGATCAAGGATTCTCCTTCATCATTGAAAACATACCAACATTTGCATCATGGGGGTGCTGGAAGAAGAGAAGGAGCAAGAAATTGAAAACCTACTTGAAAAAATAATGACAGAAAACTTCCTTAATTTTGTGAAGGAAGTACATGTATACGTCCAGGAAACACATAGAGTCCTTAACAAGATGAATCCAAAGAGGCCCACACCAAGACATATCATAATTAAAATGCTAAAGGTTAAAGACAAAGAGAGAATCTTAACCAGTTAACTGCCATGCATCCAAAATAGAAACTATCCCCACACGCCACAATATTTTGAATTTAATTTAAAAAAATCATCTGATTCTGGAGTTGAATAAAGGATATCATCTTCCTCTTGCAAGGTGCTTGGTTCGATTATTTCTTCATCTGATGCCATTTATGGGGGCTTAATTTTATTTGCACAATATATTACAACTATAAATTCAATAATAAAATCATAATTTTCAATTCTACGGAAATATCAACAAAAGCGAGTACGAAATAAAAATAAACCGTCGACACAAAAAGCCTCAAAAACAATAAATTCTGTTGATGTGCCAAAGATGTTATCTGTAAAAAAAATAATAAAGAACGCACACCATGTTTACCATTTTAGGTGTGAAATTCATGATAACACAAACAAATCTCAAGTGTCACAATGAACCAAAAAAAATCTCAAGTGTCGCAGTGTTTACCTCTCATGAGTCTGAGTGGCAGCCCTATACTAGTATATCAATATTGGAATTTCTTCCCTATGTACTAGAATATTTACATATTTAAGTTACCATAATTTTCTTTACAAACCCAGAGATGTCACTAACAAGTCTGATTTTTAAAAGTGGGCGACCAGAGTTGATATGTGAGATTTGCAGCTATAGACACGTGTGGCAGTGTGGGGAAAGTCCACCGCTTGCGTCTATAGACACTTATGGCTACAAATGGTTAAAAGCAGTCAGAGGAAGACAGTTGGTTCCCTATAAGGGAGCTCTCTAAGACTGTTAGCTGATTTCTCAACAGAAACTTTGCAGGCCAGAAGGAATTGGCAAGAAATATTTAAAGTGATGAAAAGCAAGGACCTACAAGCAAGATTACTCTATCCAGCCAAACTATCATTTAGAATGAAAGGACAGATAAAGAGCTTTCCAGACAAGAAAAAGCTAAAGAAGTTCATCACCACCAAACCAGTATTATATGAAATATTAAAGGGTCTTCTTTAAGAAGAAAAAGAAAAGATTAAAAAAAACATGAATAAAATGGCAATAAATACATATCTATCAACAACTAAATCTAAACAAACAAATAAATAAATGAACAAGAACAGAAACGGACTTATGGATACAGAGAACATGTTGACAGTTGCCAGATGGGAGAAGAGGAGGGAGGATGGATGAAAAAGGTGAAGGGATTGGGAAGAACAAATTGGTTGTTACAGAATAGTCATGGAGATGTAAAGTACAGCACAGAGAATATAGTAAAAAATATTCTAATAACTATGTATAGTGTCAAATGGATATATTTATTGAGATCACTTAATAAGTTAGGTAATGTCTAATTACTGGGATGTACATCTGAAACTAATATAATGTATGCCAACTGTAATTGAAAAATAAAATAATACAGTATACAGATGACATACTATAGAATGCACACCTTAAAACTACATAATTTTATTAACTGATGTAACCCCAATAAAGTCTACTTATTTTTTAGTGACTTTAAAAATGTTTGTATTGACTTTAGAGAGAGAAAGAAAGGAGAGAGATAGAATCATCAATGATGAGAGAGAATCATTGACCAGCTGTCTACTACATGCTTTCTACTGGGGATCAAGCCCGCAACCTGGGCATGTGCTCTGACAGGGAATCGATTCTCTTGATTCATAGGTCAATGCTCAACCACTGAGCCACACCCAATAAATTCAATTTAAAAAAGGAAAAGAAAAATGAATTAAAAAATAAAAGATGATGCTTGGCCAATGTGGCTTACTTGGTTGGGTGTCATCCCATGCACCTAAAGGTTGCTGGTTTGATTCCTGGTCAGGGCACATTCCTGGGTTGTGGGCTCAATCCCCAATAGGGGGCATGCAGTAGGCAGCCAATGGATGTTCTGCTCTCACATTGATTTTTCTCTCTCTCTCTCTCTCTCTCTCTCTCTCTCTCTCTCTCCATCTCCCTCCTTCTCTCTCTAGAAATCAATAATAAAATAGATGAAATACCTGAGACATATAACAGGTTATATTTTATAAAAACCTTTTATTTTACTCTTGTAAAAATCTCTACAAGCATGATCTTTCTACCTCCACTTTATGGGAGAGAAACACAAGGATCTTAGAGGTTAAATGATTTGCCAAGGTCAGACAGAAGAGGAGCAAAATCAGAACTCAAATTGGACATGAGGCTCAGATTTCTTTCGTAACACCACAGCAGCCTGTACATATTTTCCCCACAGCAATCTCTCAGTTTCTTATCCTGTTTTCTTTTTATTTCAACTTCTTGTTCACTTCTCACTTTCTAGGAAGCCCTATCCCACCAGGATGATTGTTACTGGACAGGGGACTCTGTCCTGACCGGGTCTGCTTATGGCCAGCTGGTAGTGTGTGGGTTCCTGACTTTGTGCAGGAAAAATTTCACAACATGTGTCCAGGTGAATTTTAGAGAACATTTATTAAAGCTGGGGACAGTGAAACAAGGAAGGGCCTAGGCCAGTGGTCGGCAAACTGCGGCTCGCGAGCCATATGCGGCTCTTTGCCCCTTGAGTGTGGCTCTTCCATAAAATACCACGTGCGGGCGTGCACGTACAGTGCGATTGAAACTTCGTGGCCCATGCACAGAAGTCGGTATTTTGTGGAAGAGCCACACTCAAGGGGCCAAAGAGCCGCATATGGCTCGTGAGCTGCAGTTTGCCGACCGCTAGCCTAGGACCGTGGTCGGCAAACTGCGGCTCGCGAGCCACATGCAGCTCTTTGGCCCCTTGAGTGTGGCTCTTCCTAACCTAAGCCTTAGGAGTACCCTAATTAAGTTAATAACAATGTACCTACTTATATAGTGTAAGTTTAAAAAATTTGGCTCTCAAAAGAAATTTCAATCGTTGTACTGTTGCTATTTGGCTCTGTTGACTAATGAGTTTGCCGACCACTGGCCTAGGATAGCAGGAGAGGGACTAGGTGGGGAAATGAGTCTAGATAGGGCTGCTTTAGCTCACTAAGAAGCCAGAGAAAAGAGGGCTTTGGGAATAGGAACTGCTGCTGCCCATTGCTGCCCTATTTCTTTTAAAAATGACATTGGTATTTTGATGGAGATTGCATTTAATCTGTATATTGCTTTGGGTAATATGCATGTATTCACTATGTTGATTCTTTGAATACATGAACATGAAATATTTTTCCATTTCATTGAGTCTTTTTCAATCTCTTAATAATGCCTTGTAGTTTACACTATATAGGTCCTTCACATTCTTTGTTAAGTTTATTTCTAGGCATTTTAATCTTTTGGTTGCAATTGCAAAATAAAATTTTTTCATTTCTTTTTCTGATGTTTTGTTGTTAGTATATATGAAAGCAGTGAATTTTTATACAGTGGTTTTGTACTCTGCAACTTTACTATATTTATTGCTTCTAATAGTTTTTTGGTGAAGTCTTCAGGGTTTTCTATATACAGAATCATGTCCTCCATAAAAAAAAAAAAAAAAAAAAAAAAAGACAATTTTACTTCTTCCTTCCCAATTTGGATGCCTTTTACTTCTTTCTCTTGCCTAGTTGCTCTGACTAGGACTTCTAGCACTATGCTGAATAAGGGTGGTGAGAGTGGACATCCTTGTCTTGTGCCTAATCTTACAGGAAAAGCTTTCAGTTTTTCACCATTATGATTAGTTTAGGGTTTGTCATACATGGCCTTTATTATATTGAAGTACTTTCCTTCTAAACCCATTTTATTGAGTTTTTAAATCATAAATGGATGTTACATCTTTTCAAGTGCTTTTTCTGTATCTATTGATAAGATCATATAATTTTTACCCTTTGTTTGGTTAGTGTGGTCTATTATTGCTTGATTTGTGTGTATTAAAACATCCTCGTGCCCCTGGAATGAACTCTACTTGATCGTGATGTATTATTTTTTAATGTATTATTGTGTTCGATTTGCTAGTATATTGTTTAGGATTTTAGCAGCAGCAGCCATTACTCTTTAAAAATGGAAGATACTTCTTGTTTCTTGCCCTGTATTGATTAGCAGTACTTGGCCCTTTCCCTTCATGGAAAGTAAAATAAACTTCCTCTCTACATCTCTTCTTTTAGTTGTGAATTCTTTCACAGCCCATGTCATCAGCAAAACCCTAACAACTTCCTTCTTATTACTGTTTTCGCTGTATCCCAGAAGTTTTGATAATGTTGTACTGTCATTCTCCTTTGTCTTTATATATCTTTTGATCTCATCTTTTATTTCTTCTTTGACCCAGTCATTTTTTAGTAGTATGTTGTTTAATCTCCACATATTTATGGGTTTCTTTACTTTCTTTTTACAGTTGATTCTAATTTCAAGACATCATGGTCACAGAATATGTTTGATATAATTTCAATTTTCTTGAAATAAATTCAATTTATTTGCTAGTTTTGTGACCCGACATATTGGTCTATCCTTAAGAATGTTCCATGTGTACTGGAGAAGAATGTATAATCTGATATTCTGGGATGAAAGGCTCTCTAAATGTCAATTATGTCCATTTGCTCTTGTGACCCATTTGGGCCAGTGTGACTCCGTGGTTGAGCATCAATCCAGGAACCAGGAGGTCATGGTTCAATTCCTGGTCAGGACCTGTGCCCAGGTTGCAGGCTCTATCCCCAGTAGGGGGCATGCAAGAGGCAGCTGATCAATGATTTTCTCTCCTCATTGATGTTTCTATCTCTCTTGCCCTCTCCCTTCCTCTCTGAAATCAAATATATATATGTAATTTTTTTTAAGTGGGCAGAGGACCTGAAAATACATCTCTCCCAAGAAGACATACAAACAGCCAATAGATATATGAAAAGATGTTCAACCTTACTAGCAATTAGGGAAACGCAAATCAAAACTACAATGAGATATCACTGCACATCAGTGTGGCCACTATCAACAAGACAAGCAATAACAAGTGTTGGAGAGATTGTGGAGAAAAGGCAACCCTTATTCACTGCTTGTGGGGATGTAGACTGGTACAAACACTATGGAAAGCAGCCTGGTGATTCCTCAAAAAATTAAGAATAGACCCAACAACCCATCTCCTGGGTACATATTGGAAAAAGTAGAAAACATGCATTCGCAAAGATATATGCATTCCTATGTTCATTGCAGCATTATTCACAGTGGCCAAGACATGGAAACAACCAAAGTGTCCCACAGTAGAGAACTGGATAAGAAGATGTGGTACATATACACAATAGAACACTACTCAGCCATAAGAAAGGATGAAAAATTGCCATTTGCAACAACATGGATGGACCTTGAGAATATTATGCTAAATGAAATAAGTCAATCAGAAAAAGCTAAGAACCATATGATTTTACTCATATGTGGGACATAAACTGAAATTCGTGAACACAAACAGCAGTGTGGTGATTGCCAGAGAGAACGGAATGAGGGGTGAAGGAGGTCCTAATATATGGTGATGGGAGAAGATTTGACTTCGGGTGGTGGGCACACAGTATAATATACAGATCTTGTAATGTAGAAACCCACACCTGAAACCTATATGATCATATTAACCAATGCCACCCCAATAAATTTAGTAAGAAAATAAAATAAAATACAATGCCCTATATGCCGGGACGTTGTGCTACATTTTACATACATCATTTCACTTAACATCCATTTTGAGTTAGAAACTCTCTTATTTGACAGATGAGAACACTGAGACTTAAAGGAAAATGGCTTTCCTACAGTCCCAAGGCTATGAAGCCACGTGACTGCTATTCCAAGCCAGTGGTCTTCTTCCAGAGGCAACTGTTTTAGCCACCACACTAGCTGCTTCGCCAACCTTGTTCCTTTGAACAAGGTATTTTCAAAGTAGGAACTATGAGGTCTAATACTAAAACAAAGCACTAGCAATTTTTTCCCTTTGAGAATTCAGTCATTTCACCCCCTCTAGACACTTTGTCAGCAATACTGAGAGAGGAAACAAAATTGGGCTGTTTCTTTAATAATGCTTATTTAATTCCTTTTTGTGAAATTTATCTTTTCTTTCAAATGACATAGAAATCATTTTTTTTAATTGTTTATTAAAACCAAACACTGCACCCTGGTTGGTGTGGCTCAATTAGTTGGAACAGTGGTCGGCAAACTGTAGCTCGCGAGCCACATGCGGCTCTTTGGCCCCTTGAGTGTGACTCTTCCTAAGCCTTAGGAGTACCCTAATTAAGTTAATAACAATGTACCTACCTATATAGTTTAAGTTTAAAAAATTTGGCTCTCAAAAGAAATTTCAATCATTGTACTATTGATATTTGGCTCTGTTGACTAATGAGTTTGCCGACCACTGGCATGGAACATCATTCCATACACTGAAAGGTCTCAGGTTCAATTCCAGTTTAGGCACATACCTAGGTTGCAGGTTCAGTCCCTGATTGGGGCACACATGGGAGGCAACCGATCAATGTTTCTCTTGCATCAATGTTTCTCTCTCTCTCTAAAAAAATCAATGAAACTATCTTCGGGCAAGGATTAAAGAAAAAAAAAAGCCAAACACTACTACAAATGTAGGCCCATACTGTTACTAGGACCCAAGGGCAGGAGAGTTTCATAGACAATTTGCCTTACCTGGTTCTTTTCTCTCCTCCTAGAGATTCCAGAATACCCTTTTAAAGAGCTACAAGAATACATATATAATCTATAGAACTCAACTTTAATCTTTTGAGAAATTTTTAATTTACTGTTGTAAAATTCAGGAAAAAGATCTATTGATCGATCAATATAGATATGTCAAATACATATATTGACCAATATAAATATATGTATGTATTTAAATTTAAGGATAAATAAAGTGAGAGTACAACAGCCCAATTATTGGTTTTATAAAAGGTGAGAGCAAGTCACTGCCATTATAGGTGCTAGCTCTTACACCTATCATCAGCTATCCAAAGAGTAGTCCGACTACTGGCATTCAATGGGCATGGCAGCTCTCTTCAACTCTCCAATGAGTTTCAGGTCCAGAACATTTTCAGTCCTTGTCTTGTTTATCTGCTGATGAGGGGTTTCTAGGAAGATTTAGCAGTGCTTCAATTTTCTTAATATCATCCTTGGGTTGATTTTTCTGTAGGCTACTTTCAATTTCTTCAGGGAGGAGCTCAGTAATTTGTAATCTGGCTTTCCTATAATCAAAGAATGAAAAGAATATATCAAGTACTGTTCTGCTTCTTTAGTTCATAGAATTATTTTTTAAAATATAGCACTTGTCTTATTCTCCCTGCAACTTATGAGCAAACACTGTTCCTTGCACTTAAATACAATGACTTTCTTCTCCTGTTCCACTCACAAGCCAACTAGAATTTTCACATTACCAAGATGGCTATTGCTGCTGTGTCAGTAGAGTTCTTGCAGGAGCAACATGCAGGAGGTGAAGCACCCTAGCTAAGGTGTGAGCCTTGCAACCTGGTTATCCTCTTGCCCTCAGGATCAGGGTACATGAGTCCCCTGCCACTCTGTTAAACTCTCTATTGCCAGACCTTTCAGAAACTGCACAGAGGTTGTAACAATGGTAATCCTGGTACAGAAAAATCAGATGGGACAACACTATAGATGTATATATACACAAGGAATTAAAATCTAATTTCTAAATAACAGGTCAGTTATTATTCTAAACCAAGCATTACTGTCTTCCTTTCTTTAAGTGATTATCAGGGTCACCTATGACTTTCTTTTCAACTCTTTACAATCACACTTGACCATTTCTTCTTCCATATGTCTATAGCTAGTTTTCTACACTTTCTACTCACGACAGCAATTTTTTAGACTCTCACTTTGCTTGATTCCCCTAGAGAAGTAGACAAAGATTCTTATTTATTAGATTAATACTACTCAGAAATATATTTATTTATATTCTATACATTTTTGTTACTATTCCCTTCTGCCAAAGTATTCTTTCATTCTGATCATTGTTTTCGTTTTTACCCATTATTGAGGTTTTTCATTTCTGAATAACTGATCAACTTCTCTAATTTTCTTTTTTTATTGTAATAATATTATTTGTTCATATTTTTCCAAATGCTAATTCTTCCATACTACATATGTCAGATTCAAATAGTCAATATACTTTCCCTATCTTTCCAACTCCTTTCCCAAAGTTTTCTTTTTAGAAAAAGAAGTCTCTTATGATATCTAAGAACTAGAAATGAGGTAATGCTTTCAATTCTTCATAACATTAAATTTTACAGAAGTTTAAGTGCTTTATTCTAGAACCTACATAATCGCATATCCCATCCACTCTCTTAGTATGGAGAAGAGAACGGAACAAAACAAACATATATTGAATACTGTGGTGTGATTCTGCCCTTAGAATGACTGAGAAAACTGAGGGCTTAAAGTTAAGGAAAATATCTAAGATCATAGACTAATTAATAATCTAGCTAGAAGCATTGCTTTCAAGGTTTCATTGGCTCCAAAAATCAATGCTTTTTCTCCTATCCCACCTAAGTCATTAAGATACTGTTGTAATTGACTAGTTATCAATAATAGGAAAGGAACAAAGGGAAGTCAGGCCAGACATTATAGGTATGTCATTTGGGCAGCTTCACTAGGAAGCTGTAATTTCACACTCTCTGGGAGCCAACAAAGAGGAGACAGACACATGCCCAGTAAAGTTAAGGTGGCATAGGGAAGGTACTTGTCTGTCAGTCACACCTGGGAACAGAGATCTTTGGCCAGAATGGGCATGGCCATTGCAAGCCCACAAAAATTTGGGACTACATAATCTCCTAAACAAAGGAATTCTCTCTCTTGTTGCCTCTCTTGGCTTTCTAGCATTCGCCTGTGTTGCCTCCATAGACAAGTGGCCCTGAGGACCCCACATGCAATGGACTGATGGACTGCAGCAGGGAAACACAAGTTGAGCTGGCCTGATACTGAACTGGACTGTGCAGACGTGGAACAGAAACTCTCGACACTGGTTTTGATTTTAGCTCTACTGGAACCCAAGCTATACTTCTTCTATGACTGGACTAAGGGAAATGGGACTTTGGAAACTCAGGGATTTAATTCCACACTAATAAAAATCACTCATTCTCCCATTCAAATCTCAGAAAATTCCTCTTCTCAGGATATTGCAAGAAATCCACCCCCACGAAGGCCTAGTGGGGATGAGGACCCCCCACTTCCACCTGTAACACTTGGACAACAGTTCTACAGATATCAAGAATTCCCATGTCTCTGGGTGTGTTTAGCACAAATGGAAGTTTCGAATAAAAATCTGGGGGACTGCTTATCTACTCAACTATCAATGCAGCAGGTGCAGCAAATGTCATCTGAGGTACCCAGGAAGCTGAACCCTGACAATTATTTGTACAAGGAACACTAAATGGCAGCCCGTTATGTTGATCTTACAAAGAACCAGCATGAAGTCTGCTGTTAGTCCGACTACTGGCCCAGGGAATGACTACATGTAACCGATGAAAGTTTTCATCTTCCACAGTGGTACCCAGTCCATGTCCAGACACTACGTCTACCTAACTCCTCTGCATCCACAGCAAGAAGCAGAATCTTTTAAGTGGAGACTGAACATGTTCCACATTGTTTATAGATATATGTGTACACTGGGATACCACCTTTTACATAAAGCCAAGTAAAGTTCACTCACTGCTGTGCATTTTCTTTATATAATTTCCTTATGCAGTCAAAAATATAGGAAAAGAGAAAACATGCAACCAAAGGAAATTTACATTTTAACTTAAAAAAATGTATTTAAGGAAAGATCCTCATCAGATTAAAAATAAAATTAGTGTCTTCCATTTTTCTAATCTCCTTAATTAAAAAGATGAGAAGACCAGGTAGGGTACAAGTTGAAGAACTCAGTAAAAATAAACTTTTCTTTGAGCTGAATCGTTTAAGAGAACTGCACTATGAAAGGCCTAGTTTTAGCATGTTCCTCACCACTCTTCCAGTTTCAGCTCTTGGAGTATTTTTTTCTCCTTCTGTTTTCTCTCCTGAATCGTCTCACCACAGTACTTCTGGAGTACCATCAACAGGCTCCCAACAGGAGTACTGCGGAAGAAGCAGAGGGGAAGCTTAGGAAAAACAAGCCATTAGATCAGGCAAGATGTGAGCATCTCTGCTAAGACACGAGCAACACCAACTGAGCCACTTGTTTGCTGATAGGTACAGGAACATTTGACAATTAAAGTGTCCCTGTTGAATAAAAAAAAAAAAAAAAAAAAACCAAGATAATTTCCTTCATGGTCTGAACAACAGAGAAAAACAGTAACAGTATCTTCCTAAAAGTAAGTGACATACATCTGGTCTATAAATTGGCTGTTTTTAATGAAAAATTAACCAGGAAAATATATATTTGTGACAAGCTCTAGTAAGTAGCTATATACTGAAGGTTTCTCAGAATAAAGTTAATATCTAGAATGGCACCAGATCCTCTCAGGAGCAGGTATTTTTGGTTGGAGGAGGAATGCTACTAGCTTTTGGGGTTGAAGCCACCAAAACATCCTAAAATTGAATCTCACCCACAGTGCCAATAGTTATCTATTAAGAAACTGATTTACATAAAAATTATCACTGCAAGGAAGAGGGTTTCATTCTTGTTTTCTCAAAGAAAAGGATTTTTTTAAAAATGGCAGCATAGGTAAATGCCTGTACTCACCGTCTCCCACAGCCACATCAAAATTACAACTAAAATACAGAAAAACCATCATTCAGAACCACCTGAAATCTAGCTGAATGGAAGTCCTACAACTAGAAAAGTAAAGAAGAAAGCACATTGAGACTGGTAGGACGGGCGGAGACCTGGAATGGGTTGGTTCGACACCTACGTGTGGCAATTTTTTTAATCAGGAGGGATATCTCTGCTGCAGAGACCTCCTGTGAGGAGCAAAGAGTCCCAGCCCCACACCAGACCCCTCAGCCCAGGGTTCCAGTGCTGGGAAGAGAAGTCCCCATAACTGCAGGCTGTAAAAACCAGGCCTAGGGTGAGGTGGAAACCAAGTGGAGGAGAGTAATAGGGGGGGAAAGGGAGACATCTGTAATAATCTCAACAATAAAAATGTGTCAAAAGGGGTTTTTGGCTCTGATATAACTTAAATTTACTCTGGCTACAACTTAAGTAGGCTAATTTAAAAAATTATCTTTGCTAGGTGGAAATGATCATTGACAGATGAATGATGAAAATGTTAATACAATGGAATGTTACGCCACCTTAAATAAAGAGATCCTGTCATATGCTATAACATGGATGAATTTCAAGGACATTATGTTAAGAAAAATAAGCCAGTTACAAAAAGTCACATATGATTCCACTCATATGAGGTATCTAAAGTGTTCGAAATCATAGAAACAGAAAACAGAAAGGTAGTTGCCAAAGGCTGAGGGGCAAGGAGAGGAAGAATTAGTGTTTAATGGGTACTGAGTTCCAGTTTTGCTAGATTAAAAAGTTCTAGAGATCTGTTGCATAACAATCTATACTAATAATAGAGGAATATGCAAATTGTCCAGGACACCATCATAGTAACAACCAGCAGGCTGCGTGGGGCCACAAGGCCGGCAGGGGGGTTAGCGAGGGATGACCAAATGACTGAACAGCAAGCTGTGTGGGGCGACCAGGCTGGCGGGGGGGGGGGGGGGGGGGGGAGAAGTTGGGGGTGAGCAGGCTGGTGGGGTGGGAGCAGTTGGGGACGACCAGGCTGGGGTGGGGGGCAATTGGGGGCAACCAGGCCGGCGGGGGGGGGGGGGGGGCGGGAGTTGAGGGCAACCAGGCCAGCAGAGGGGGGCAGTTGAGGGCAACCAGGCCAGCAGGGGAGGCAGTTGGGGGCGACAAGGCCAGCAGGCAGAGGCAGTTAGGGGTGATCAGGCTGGCGGGGGGTTGGGGGCAGTTAGGGGCGATCAGGCAGGCAGGCAGGTGAGCAGTTAGGAGCCAGCGGTCCTGGATTGTGAGAGGGATGTCCAACTGCCGGTTTAGACCCAATCCCTGGAATCGGGCCTAAACCGGCAATCAGACATCCCCCGAGGGGTCCCGGATTGGAGAGGGTGCAGGCTGGGCTGAGGGGATTTCCACACACACACACACACACACACACACACATGAATTTCGTGCACCAGGCCTCTAGTGTGAATATACTTAACACCTATGAACTGTGTGATTAAATATGGGTAAGACAGTAACTTATTTTTCCCCCACAATGAAAATAGTTTAGTTTTGTTGCTAGCTTCAACAATTCTTATATTAAGAACCTGGTATATTAACAATACAACAAAAATAATGTCAGCAATAGATTATGAAATGCTAAATTCAAAAAAAATTTAGTTAAAAAAAATCCATAAATCTATAGTGTTACCATCCCCTGAAAAGGGGGTGGGAAAAGGGAGTGGGCAGGAGGAGGGGAAGGGAGAAACCTTTTGTTCAAGTGAATGCCATCTAAAAAGAACAGAAGAATGATGGAATAGCTAATCAATGTTTTGTCTTTGGAATAACTGATTACAGCATGAATCCTTAAAAATCACTAGAAGCAGCTGGAAAACAGGCTATTCACTGACTTTCACTCCCACAGAGTACTTAACCAGAATGGGAAAAAGATACCTATGCAGTAGAAAAATGTATTAGATACCCAATATGCATGCAGAATTCTAAAAAGTCTCCCTAAATTATCCTATCCTGATACCCCAACTGTGAATATGATGAGATATTATGCCCATGATTGTATTACATTACATGGTAAATTGATTTTACAGACATAATGAAGGTTATTAATCAGCTGAATTTGAGTCAGTCAAAAAGGAGATTATCTGTGTGAACCCTTTCCAAGCAAAGCTTTCTCTGGCTAGTGTTAGAGTGGAAATCAGAGAGATTTTTTTTTTAACATTTTTCAGTTTAATTTCTAATACAATAAATATAAATGATATAATTCACAAAAATAAAAGCACTTGGAGGCCCTCCATTATTGTTAAGTGTGTAAAGGAATTCTGAACACAAACCTTTGTGAACCACTGGTCCAAAACATGAAGAAGTTACTGTGGATCTCAGCTTGAAACTGAAGGGCCAGGGCCAAATGGTGGGCATTCAGACCTCTCTTGGTATTGATCGATGTCATCTATTACATAACATTTATTGAATGTTTGCTATCTGCCAGGAAGGTGAGGCTTGGTGTATTGTCAGGAGCCAGGTCATGGGAAGCATTAGGTACTTGGCCAGGGTTTTGATTTTACCTGAAGGACTTCAGTACAATGGTTGCAATACCATTATTAGCAAGACCACAAGGTCCTGCTTCTTCTGAGCTCCAGCACCAGGGCGAGGCTTTGGGGGACCCAGACACATACGAGGAGGAACTGGACTGTCTGGCATCAGGGCAGGAACTCGAAGGTGGCTTTCTCCCAGACGGAGGTGCTGGCAGGGATAATTGTTCCTATGCTGCGACTGCCCCAGTCAGGGCTGCTGGCAGCCATTTCTCAGTCAGAGATTTGAAGCATGAAAAGCATTCAACATGCTGGTTGCTAGTTTGAACATGGAGGGATACTGTGAGTTGGAATGTGAATGCCAATAAGGACTTCCCTCTTATTGCCACAAGGATTTTGTCAACAACCTGGTTTGGAAACAGATTCTCCCATAGAGCCTCAAGATAAGAGCCTGACTGGCCAATACCATGATTTTTGGCCTTGTGAAACCTTCAGCAGAGAACCCATTCAAGCCTACCCAGACTTCTAACCTACAGAACTATGATATAATAAATGGAACTTTTCTACATTAAAGGAATCTAAAAAGACACAATTACTAAATGCAATATACAAATGGATCCTGGGTTTAAAAAAACTTATATACACATAATATTGTAATAATTAAAAACTTTTGAATATAGAACCTATCTTAGATAACTGTATTGAACCAATGCTAAATGATGCAGTGTGATATCACTGGACAATGTTCTTTTTTTTTTTTTTTTTTTTTTTTTTTTAGGAAACGGTTCATTGGACAGAAGAATCTTCAGTGGATGGGATGTCATGGAAGCCAAGAAAAGACAGAGTTTCAAGACGGTGGAATTAGCCCTGGCTGGGTCGCTCAGTTGGTTATGTTGTAGGCAGTTAGACAGGAGCAGAGCAAGGATGATAGACCAGGTACAGAAGGTGTCAGGGTGGAAAGTCCTAGGGGACTTAGCCTCCAGGGTGACTTTTCCTCCCTTAGCATATCAATGGTCCTGCAGTTTGGAACCCTTAACCTTTCCTCCCTCGAGATAAGATCTAGGCCTCAATTGTATTTCAGCTCCAGGCCCAGAAAAGCAACAAAACCAGACCACAACCTCAGCTGGTTTGGCTCAGTGGATAGAGTGTTGGCCTGTGGACTGAAGGGTCCTGGGTTTGATTCCAGTCAAGGGCCAATGCCTGGGTTGCAGGCTTGATCCCCAGTAGGGGGCATAATCAATGATTCTCTCATTGATGTTTTCCACTCTCTCCCTCTCCCTTTGTCTCTGTAGTCCAGTAATGGCGAACCTATGACACACGTGTCAGAGGTGACACACGAACTCATTTTTTTGGTTGATTTTTCTTTGTTAAATGGCATTTAAATATATAAAATAAATAACAAAAATATAAATCTTTGTTTTACTATGGTTGCAAATATCAAAAAATTTCTATATGTGACACCGCACCAGAGTTAAGTTAGGGTTTTTCAAAATGCTGACATGCCGAGCTCAAAAGGTTCGCCATCACTGCGTAGTCAATAAAAAAATATATTTGGAAAAAAAAAAAAAAAAAAGACAAAACCCCATGGCTTGTACACTGGACCAACTACATTGAATAATGACCTCCTGCCCTGGCACCAACCAATCCATCAGTGGAGACTTAGACCCTAGCATATTGGTAGTCATGTGGTTTGGACCAAGACCCCCTCCCTTTCCTCCCCAGAGATACCATCTATACCTCAGGTTCTATTGCAGCTCCAGGGCCAGAAAAGCAACAAAACCAGCCTCAGGACCAGCTGCGTTGAATAATGACCCTTTGCCCTGGGGAAAACCAATCAATCTGAGGACACATAGATCCTGAAAGGGGAAAACTGCTGAATATTCTATTGAGACCTTCCCCTGAGACCTCCCCTAAACTCTCCACCCTTAAAACCCTTAGGATGGAGGGCCTAGTGTATTCTCCCTCCCAAGAGCAGGCCCTCTTGTCTTTCCCTTTCCCTTCTCCCTCCCCCTCTCTGCCCCAGGCATGTTACCATTAGCTTCCTCACTCCCAAGCTCCAAGGGCCCTTCCTTTACCTCTATAACTTGTTCCTGAAGCCCTTTTCTTCTAGGAATTGCTCCTTCTTCCTCTGTGATTTACCAAATAAATGTTCTCTTACAGTTTAGGTCTTGGCTCTGAATTCTTTCCTAGCCAGAACCCAAGTATTTACCCAGTTGGTAAATATCTCCTCCTCTTCTATTTTCAGGGAAAGTTTGTGTAGAATTTACATTATTTCTTCTTTAAGTAAATTTTTCAAAACTTTATCAGTGAAGTCATCTAAGCTTTCTTTTTTGGAAAGTTTTAAACTATAAGATATATATATATATTTATATATATATATATATATATATATATATATATATATATATATTTTTTTTTTTTTTAATTTAGGAGAGGAAGGGCGAGGGAGAGAGATAGAAACATCAATGATGGGAATCATTAATCGGTTGACTCTTGCACGCTCTTACTGGGGATTGTGCCCTGACCAAACCGTGACCTCCTGGTTCATAAGCGATGCTCTACCAACTACTGAGCAACACCAGCTGGGCTAAGATTGATTTTTTTTTTTTTTAATACACGTGGACTATTTGGATTGTTTGTTTCTTCCTCATGAGCTTTGGTAGTGTGCAACTTTTAAGGAATTTGTCCATTTCAGCTGAGTTGTAGGATATCTATATATATAAAAGCCTAATATGCTAAGTGTCCAACCGTTCAACCAGTCACTATGATGTGTACTGGCCACCAGGGGGCAGACGCTCTGACCAGTGGGTTAGCTTGATGCTGGGGACTGGCTGATCCGGACTGGGCGAGACAGGCTGGACATGCCCTGGAGCCCTCCTGCAGTCCCTCCCCAGCCGGCCGGCCCTGATCAGCCTCAATCGGTACTGGGCAAGATGGCCCCAATCAGCCCCAATCAGACTGGGCAAGACAGGCCGGACACGCCCTGGAGCCCTCCCGCAGTCCTTCCCCAGCCTCTAAAATATTTCTTCTAATTAATTTGCTTTCAATGTGCACGGATTTGTGCACCGGGCTCCTAGTAAGGGCATAAAATATTCCCTAATATTTTTTTTCATACTTTACATGACCTCAGGATCATCAAGTTGTCCTCCTTTTTATTCCTATACTAGAGGCCCAGTGCACGAATTCATGCACAGTTGGGTTGCTCAGGATAGCCTGCAGGAATCAGGCCCCAGCTTGAGCCCCCAGCCTTGCAGCCCCAGCTTGCATACCCAGCCCTGCAGCCCCGCCTAGCACTCTGCCTTGGCCTGGCACTGCCCCCTCACCTGTTCCACCATCCGGCCTGCAGGGTGATTGGTTGAGACTGGGCCCCCTGCCCGGCTCCCTCAGTGCTTGGGACCTGGGCGGCAGCTCTGCCCCTCACCGCTGGTCACCATCTGCAGGGTAGACGGCAAGGCAATCGGGCCCACGCTCGCACCAGCCTTGGTCTGGTGCCGCCTGCTCACCTGCTCCACCATCCTGCTGTGTTCCTGCCCTTGTCAGGACCCATAGGGGCTGGCAGCACCTCCACTGCCCCCTGCTGCCAGCACCTCATCGCCGATGCCCGCCACGTTCGACACCACCCCAATGGTCAGTGCACATCATAGCGAGCGGTCGAACCCCCAGTCAAACTCCCAAGGGGACAATTTGTATATCAGGCTTTTATTATATAGAATTGATCATTTGTTTTCTCTTTTTTACTTGATTGGTCTAGTTAGCAGTTGATTAATTAATCTTTCTAAAGAACTTGATATTGATTCCATAATGTTTCTGTATTGATTTTGTTTTCAATTTTATTAATTGTAACCTCTCATCTTTATTATTTTCTTCCTTCTGCTTGTTTTGAATTTAATTTACTTCCTTTTACTAACTGATTAAGATGAAAGCTTAGATTACAGTGGGGCCTTGACTTACAAGTTTAATTCATTCCGTGATGGAGCTCGTAACTCAAATTACTCGTATGTCAAAACAAAAAGTGAACGAGTGAGACACGTGATGCTGGGCTGATGTTGTGGCGTTAACTGTGACGTTCGCTGCGCCAACTAGTGGTGGGGTATCTGAAACTGGCTTGTAACCCGAATTTTAGCTCACAACTCAAAGCAAAAAATCGGCCGAGAGACGGCTCGTATCTCGAAAAACTCGTTAGTCGGGACACTCGTAAGTCAAGGCCCCACTGTATTAATAATGACTTTCCTTCTTTTCTAAGACGACATAGGGGAAAATGTTAAAAAGTTAAAACAGTAAAATTTATGCTGTGTTTAGTGTCACTGAAGATAAAACTGCATTCTACATATAGGGTTATTTGTTCAATTTAGGCCCTTGTCAGGAACTAACTAAATCTTGCTTTCAAAAGGCCATATTAAATGTTTCTCTTTATCTATGTAATTCAGAAAGGTCATAAGGATAAAGCACACCATAAAAGAGTTATAAAATTCTTGGCATTATACACTTTTAAAAAAGAGCATTTTTTTCAGAGCATACTAAAAACCAGCATCTGCCTAATATGGAATTTAAATTACTTTGAAGAAACGCCAAGGGACCAAAAAAAGGAGGGGTGGGGCTTTCTTTACATACCAAATCTATCACAGCCATCAACTTATAATGTAAGTACATCTGAAAGGAAGACCTCCATAAATGATGATAGTTTATGTTAGTCAAAGCATGGATACTTAAATACACACACACAGAAATGGTCTATCAAGCCCTGGCCGGTTTGGCTCAGTGTATAGTCGGCTTGCGGACTGAAGGGTCCCGGGTTCGATCCAGTCAAGGGCACATGCCCAGGTTGCAGGCTCAGTCCCCAGTGGGGGGCGTGCAGGAGGCAGCCATATCAGTGATTCTCTCTCATCATTGATGTTTCTATCCCTCTCTCCCTCTCCCTTCCTCTCTGAAATCAATAAAAAAATATATTAAGAATATATGTGTGTGTGTGTGTGTGTGTGTGTGTGTATGTATATATATATATATATATATATATATATATATATATATATACACAAAAACAAAACAAAAACAAAAATGGTCTATCAGGTCCTAGTTGGTTTGGCTCAGTGCATAGAACGTCAGCCTGCAAACTGAAGGGTCCCAGGTTTGATTCTGGTCAAGGGCACATGCCTGGGTTGTGGGCTTGATCCCCAGTAGGGGGAGTGCAGTAGGCAGCCGATCAATGATTCTCTCGCATCACTGATGTTTCTATCTCTCTCCCTCTCCCTCTCCCTTCCTCTCTGAAATAAATAAAAATAAAATTAAAAATGGTCTATCAGCAAGAACAGCTTGGAGGTATGACTCATCTACCATAAATTCAACTCTTTAAAGTGTATAATTTAGTGTTTTTTCATGTATTCATGCAATTACCACTGTTAACTAATCCCAGAACATTTTCATCACCCCCAAAAGAAAACTCATACCTATTAGCAGTCAATGGGCTGCTTCCCACATATACACCCTGACCAGAGATTGAGCTGGCAACCTGGGCATGTCCTCTGGCCAGGAATCCATCAGCTACCTTTCAGTGCACAGAATGACCCTCAACCAACGGAACCACACTGGTCAGGGCACATATTTGCCTCTTCTAGATACTTCATATAAGTAGAGTAGTACAACATGTGGATTTTTGTCCTGGGTTTAATCAAGGATTACTCATATTGTGGTGTGAATCAATACCTCATATTTTTATGACTGAATATTATATAGTATAGTTATACCACATTTTGTTTATTTATTGTCACTGGACAATGTTCTTATCCTGGGAGATACACACTGATGTATTTAGGGATGTAGAATTATGAGGTCTCAAATGGTTTAATTGAAAAGAAAAGGAAATATACACACATTCACATATATAGAGAGAGATGGACAACAAGTATGGCAAAATGTTAACAATTGGTGAATTTAAGTGAAGGGACATATGGGTGTTCAATGTATTAATTCATTCAATGTACTTTATTGTAGGTTCAGAATTTTCGAAAGTAAAAAGTAAGACTTTTTTTAATTAAACTAAACAAAGCTGAAACTTTTTTAATAGAATGTGCTTAATTTTCTTATTCCTTTTTCCTGCTCATTATAAGGACCTTTGTTCAAACTATAAATAGTTTCAGATGTTCGTGATATTTAAAGAGTTTTCACCCAATGAAAACTGGAAGTAAATGAATAATTGGGGTAGAATTAGAATTGGAGAGTCAAAGTTACTACCAATATAAGACTAGAGATCTTTGTTCTTTAGAAATGAATGAGATGTTTAACAGGCCAGGCATTAATGAAAGTTGTGTTAATTCAGAATCAAACCATGTTAACACTTACCCTAGCAAGGCGCCAACTATGCCACCAGCTACGAAACCAGGCAGACCTAAATTTATTCTAAAAAGGCTTCCTGTGACAGCTATTTAAACAAACACAGAAAACAAACACAGAAAAACAGTATTATTAAGTCATCTTTAAGCACTAGAATTCTATTTTAAAATTATTTCTTCTATAAAAAGGACATAAATACCTATAGTAAGCTTTCTGACCCCAACATTAATATACTACTACAACGTAGACTTTCTGAGTTTAAAATGCTAATATAGCTAGCGTCTCTTCTATTCTGCAGGTTCAAAGAAAGAAATTTTCCTTTACAAAACTAATTCCTCAGTGTGTTCCATGGATCCAACCTCTTCTCATTTTGCTTCATTTTTGTCTGCCTCCCCCTTAAAAATCTGTAATCTCTTCACTTCCACCTTTCATTTCTTCCTTCTTCAAGGAAAGCTTTCCCCAGATAAACAAAAACCGCTGCAGCTTATGCCTTCCCCCTTTCTGTACTGCCAGGCTACACCTCTCAGGCAGGCCTTAAAACGTGCATCTGGCTTACCATGCCACCTGGTGGCTGCTGCACATGTACTGTTTCCTTCCTACTAAGATTGTACATCCAAAACGGTCATTCATTCTCCCCTTTTACTATGTACAACACAACTAATGGCATCTGAGGTGACAACATTTTTAAATATAACACTTGTGTCCTAGCAGGGTTAGCTTAGTGGGTAGAGCATCAGCCTGTTGACTGAAGGGTCCTGGGTTCAATTCCGGTCAAGGGCACATGCTCAGGTTGAGGCAGCCGATCACTGATTCTCTCTCATCATTGATGCTTCTATCTCTTTCTCCCTCTCCCTTCCTATCTGAAATCAATTTAAAAAAAATAGAAAGAAGGAAAGGAAGGAAGGAAGGAAGGAAGGAAGGAAGGAAGGAGGAGGGAGGGAGGGAGGGAGGGAGGGAGGGAGGGAGGGAGGGAGGGAGGGAGGAAGGAAGGAAGGAAGGAAGGAAGGAAGGAAGGAAGGAAGGAAGGAAGGAAGGAAGACTGATTAAGTAGGGGCTGAACAAAATTAGTTCTGGGGGTGGGGAAGGTGGGTTCAAGAAGAGGGACCAGCCCTAGCCAGTTTGCCTCCGTGGATAGAGTGTTGGGCTGCAGACCAAGGGGTCCCAGGTTAAATTTTGGTCCAGGGCATGTACCTTGGTTGCAGGCTTCTCCCCAGCCCAGGCCCCGGTCCAGGCACATGCAAGAGGCAACCAATGTGTTTCTCTCACATTGATGTTTCTCTCTGTCTTTCCCTCTCTCTTTCACTCTTCCTAAAAATCAATGGAAAAATATCCTCAGGTGAAGATTAGCAAAACAAAAAAAAAAAGAAGAAGAAGAGGAGGGACCAACACATGTAAAGCAAGAATATCCTGGGTTTAGGAAATCCAAGTAGATTCATAAGCCTGAAGCAAGAGTGGTGCATGGGGCCAGATCAAGAATCAACATTACAGTGATGGGAAACTGCGGGAGACTCTCAAGCAAAAAGTATTATGATCATATTCATATTTTAAAACTAAGACAACAGAGGAGGTGGAATGACAAGATTAGAAACAGGGAAAACCTAATAGTAGCAGTAGAAACAAAGAGAAGGTGAGAGAGTGCATATATATTTAAGGAATATAAATGATTGGTCGATAGGAAGTTTGGAAAGAAATAAAGGGAAGAGCCATCATTACTTAATTTCCACTTTTAGAATTTAACAGAGTAGACAACAGAGAATATAACAGAAGAACCAAGAATGGAAGTGGGGGGAGGAAGACAAGAATTTGGTTTGAATATAAACATTTGAGCCTTCAGAACATGTAAACTGTCCACAAGGTCAAAAAGGGCAAGTCCTAGCTACTTCAATGATATTAATGTCTATTTCTAATTTCATATTTAAAAATGTTTTCATTGCCGAAACCGGTTTGGCTCAGTGGATAGAGCATCGGCCTGCGGACTGAAAGGTCCCAGGTTCGATTCCGGTCAAGGGCATGTACCTGGGTTGCGGGCACATCCCCAGTGGGAGATGTGCAGGAGGCAGCTGATCGATGTTTCTCTCTCATCGATGTTTCTAACTCTCTATCTCTCTCCCTTCCTCTCTGTAAAAAATCAATAAAATATATTTTAAAAAAAAAATGTTTTCATTAAAATGTTAAGTTCAACCCTAGCCAGTTTGGCTCAGTGGGTAGAGCAGTGGCCTGTGGATTGAAGGGTCCAAGGTTCAGTTCCAGTCAAGGGTAATGCCCAGGTTGTGGGCTTAATCCCCGATATGGGACGTGCAGGAGGCAGCCAATCAATGATTCTCTCTCATCACTGATGTTTCTATCTCTCTCTCCCTTTCTCTTCCTTTCTGAAATCAATAAAAAAAACACATTTAAAAAAATGTTAAGTTCAAAATATATATACACGTGTTTGTCTGTGCATGTATAGGACACATAGAGAAAGAGAGAGTATACTCAAAATAGAGCACAAATGATAGAGTAAATGGGCTAAAATATTAATAGCTGAATCTCTGTACTAAAGGGTACTGATCATGGTGTTCCTTGTATCATTTTTATTTTTGTAACTTTCTATAACCATGAAATTATTTCCAAATTAAAAGAAAAAAATGTATGTGCAATATATGTGGGTTTTTGTATGTGAGAGAATGTACATAAGTTAGTGTCTGAGTATATACGGCAGGTAACTTCATCTACATTTCTGAAAATAATACTTTAATACAGTAAGCCCTCCCTATCACGGTTCCACATCTATGGAGTCAATCAACTGCAGATTGAAAATATTCGGGGGGGAAAATCCCAGGAAATTCACAAAAGCAAAAGTTGAGTTTGCCACACGCGGAGCACTATGTTGAATCCACGCGAATGAAGTGATGGGCAGGCATACCCTGTAGCCCACGTGTAAACACCGTGCCAGTTTACATAAGGGACTTGAACATTTTCAGAGTTTGGTATTCACAGGAAGGGGGGAACCAGAGGGGAATAATGTCCTGGAATCAACCCCCCACAGATACCAAGGGATGGTTGTACTTTTGTTGTTGTTGTTGTTGTAATTATCTACCAGAGGCATAGAGCTTTAAAATAAAATCCAAACTCTTACCATGAAAAAGCTGGCCCCTTTCTACTGTACCTCACCAATTTCATCTCAAGCCACTCTTACCCTCATTCACCCCGCTTCTGAGAAACATTCCCTCTGCCTAGGCTACACTTCTTCGCAAGTCTTGCTCCTTCCCTTTCTTAAGGTTTTGGCTTCAATGTCACTTCCTCAGAAAGGCCTTCTCTGATCACTCTGTCCACTTAGATCCCACTGCCCCGCCTATCTGGTACTTTCCATCATAACCACCTGTTTTTTCCCATATACGTTAGACCAGGGGTGGGCAAACTTTTTGACTCGAGGGCCACAATGGGTTCTTAAACTGGACCGGAGGGCCGGAACAAAAGCATGGATGGAGTGTTTGTGTGAACTAATATAAATTCAAAGTAAACATCATTACATAAAAGGGTACGGTCTTTTTTTTTCAATAGTTTTATTCATTTCAAACGGACTGGATCCGGCCCACGGGCCGTAGTTTGCTCACGGCTGCATTAGACTGTAACACTCCATGAAAGCTCAGACCTTATCTGCTTTGTTCACCAAGTGTACCAAGGATTAAGCCTAATACTCTCTATACTAGTACATTTTGCACGAATGTTGAATAAGCCAACTAAAGAATTCAGCAGCTGTGACTTAGGTCCTGACATATTTCCCAAACCATATTTGAGATTGAAAAACATAAACAAGAACAAACATGTCTTACCTCCTGCGATGATAAAATGGCTTAGGGCATTTTTATCTCGGTATACACTTAGACCAGTGTTCACTGTGCTGGAGAGACGACAGGAAGAGGAAAACATAATTTGAAGCATAACCCATTTACCTTCTGGAATGCACCTTTCACTAAAGACATCTGTATTATTTCAGAAGAGCCTACTACACCCATCCCTGGCCCCAGTCTAGTCCTGACCTGTGTCTCAGACTGCTAATATAACACGGGCTTTAGGAGGACCTTCTACTACAGAAGGAACAAATTCGGGAATAGTCACTTAAAAAGAGAAGCGTAAGGAAGAGTTTTGCAGAGTTTCTCTTACTAAGAAACCTTGTATCTATTTTGATACTAGTTGGTTCACCTCCATTCATCAATGGGAAAACTACAACCGGACCAGTCTTCTACACAGATAACACTATTGGGGAAAAGGTATTATGAATCACTTTCATGTAGGTGTTCAGTTTTCATAATCCCACTTAAAAGATGTGCTGATAAAAGAATACCAAGACCCTGTGTCACAATTCAGAGAGAACTTACTTGAATATAGTCACAAACACTGCAGTTCTCCAGCTCCAGCGCCAGCCGTATCGGATGAAGCCTCGCGTGGCAGCACGATGTGCAGATTGCTAAAGTTAATAAAAAGGCTGTGAGGTTCCAAGACACCTTGGTACTTTCCTTATTCTAAAACTGTGGTGGAGGAATGTCAGCTATGGATTAGGCAGGGACACCTAAACAGAAACAATAGAAAATCTGTAAAATATCATTCATTCAGTATTGTAGCTTAAGCAAAAGTCCAAGGTGCATCCTATTCTATCAGGAGATAGAAAAGAAACTAAGAATTTGCCAGTGTCAACCAAGTAATCCATTAGTTAAATATCACTGAGAATCTACATAGCAAACACCACAACAGCTATAAAATCAGTATTAGATATGATTTTTCCCCCCCAAGAAATCTTGATGAGGCCCTGGCTGGGTAGCTCAGTTGGTTAGAGGATTGTACACACCAAGGTTGCAGTTCAGTCCCCGGTCAGGGCACATGTAAGAATCAATCAATAAATGCATAAATAAGTGAAATAATGAATCTATGTTCCTCTTTCTCTCTCCCCCTGCCCCTTCCTCTGTCTGTAAAAATCAATAAAAAAATTTTTTTAAAGAAATCTTGGGGACAAGAAAAACATAAAGAACTGAGTAAGTGGTATATTAAAGGGTAAGGATTAAAGTAATACATATGTGTAGGAAAGGAGCAGAGGAAGGAAAAAAACATAATTTACTGACCACATTCTATGTAAAAGTTGTGTTAACATATTACCTCATTTAATCTTTTTTTAAAAAAATATATTTTTATTGATTTCAGAGAGGAAGGGAAAGGGAGAAATAAAAACATCAATGATGAGAGAATCACTGATTGGCTGCCTCCTGCATGCCTCCTACTGGGGATCAAGCCCGCAACCCAGGCACGTGCCCTTGACCAGAATCAAGCCCGGATGCTTCAGTCTGTAGGCCGACCCTCTATTCACTGAGCCAAATCAGCTAGGGCACCTCATTTAATCTTTACAACATTTTCTTCAGGCAGGTATTTTAATTTTAACTAAAGTATATAGAGGAAGTTTCTAACCAATAAGGAATAAAGTCAGAATTGGGAGGTAGGTTGTCTGTCTCCACAGTCCATTGTTACTAGACCAAAATTAAAACAGATCTGGTATCTACCTATATAAAAGGCTAATATGCAAAGTGTCCCCACAGGAGTTCGACTGGGAGTTCTATCACTTGCTATGACGTGCACTGACTACCAGGGGGTAACGCGGAACAAAGGAAGGCCCTGGCCAGCAGCCGGCAGCCAGGGAAGGGAGGCCCTGGCTGGAAGCCAGAAGGCCCCAATTGGCCCTGATCACCGGCCAGGCCAGGGGACCCTACCCATGCACAAATTTCATGCACTGAGCCTCTAGTAATATATAATATTGTGAGAATAAATATTTCTGGATTTTTAGAGAATCTGAGAGAATCTCTGATTCCAAACTACTATATGATATTGGGCAAGTCAAAACCACTCTGAAGCTCTAGCTGGTTTGGCTCAATGGATAGAGCCTTGGCCTGCAAACTGAAGAGTCCCAGGTTCAATTCCAGTCAAAGGCACATGCCCAGGTTGTGGGCTCGATCCCCAGTAGGGGGCATGCAGGAGGCAGCCAATCAATGATTCTCTCTCATCATTGATGTTTCTATCTCTTTCTTCTTCCTTCCTCTCTCTGAAATCAATAAATATATTTAAAAGAAAAACACTCTGAAAAGTATCTGTATGAACACATGGCTTTTAAAAAGTAGGTAGATATAGATGTATATAGGAATGTGTATATGAATATAAATATCACACACATGTCCTGTGTCTGCCTAGGGCTTAGAAGTCATGACATCTCAGTAGCAATGACCATACTTAGCACCAAATCTTGGTTTTTAAGTACCATTTTCCACTAAAAAAAAATAACTAGAGGTCCTTGGTGAAATGGCTCATTCCGATTTGAAAAGTAAAGCAATAGTCAGGAGCACCTTGCTGTGCCAAGAAGTAAAGGGGCGCTCAAAGGATGATGGGACATAGCAAAAGGACACAGGGTCTAGTTTGAAAGGGTTCCAACTGTCCACATGTAGGCCAATTTGGGTATTAAAATAAATGATAATGGATTATAAACCTACAGAATAAAATAAGAAACCAGGAGTCCACTCTGAATAAATTAAATAGAGAGATAAATAAATAGAGAGAAAATGAAAGCTCTTGCTGTTAGTAGAATACTAACCAATAAATGTAGATGGGATGATAGAATTAGAAAATGGCCATTTGGCAACCACCACAGCAATAACTGTTTTAACATAAGAATCATTATTGAATGCTAAAGCTAGAAGGTAGACGTTTGATGAAAAATAGGATATTTGCATAGTCTCAAAGTATCTAATAAGTAGTCTTTTTTTTAAAAAATATATTTTATTGATTTTTTACAGAGAGGAAGGGAGAGAGATAGAGAGTTAGAAACATCGATGAGAGAGAAACATCGATCAGCCACCTTCTGCACATCTCCTACTGGGGATGTGCCCACAACCAAGGTACATGCCCTTGACCGGAATCGAACCCGGGACATTTCAGTCCACAGGCCGACGCTCTATCCACTGAGCCAAACCGGTTTCGGCCTAATAAGTATTCTTAAGGTAACAGAGGGTAGTGGTTTTCAACCTTTTTCATTCCATGGCACACATAAACTAATTACTAAAATACTGCAGCACACCAAAATATGTATTATATTTGTTGCTGATCTGACAAAAAATAAAAAGGTATAATTTTTATTCATTCACATTGAATGACTTTATTGTTGTTGGCCGTTGTCATTTTTTTAATTTGACAACCTAAAGGAAAAGAGGTCAGTGCCCCTGACTAAGTAGTCAGGTATTGCATGTTTTAAAAATTCTTGCGGCACACCAGTTGATACAGGGGAAGAAACAGTAATTTTGTGGTGGATAAACCTTGCAGAGATAATCTTAACCAAGTGTCTAAAGTAAACATCACCAGTAAAGGGACAAACAGGTAGCATGGACTGTGATATATATTTCCTAAGAAGGATACAACATCAATTCAAGGGTATTCCTATTAAAACACATAACCAGAATCTAATCATGAAAAAATAAAAAATAAAAAAATCAAACAAATCCAAATAGAGGGAAATTCTACAAAATATATAACCCACAATCTTCAAAAATGTCAAGGTCAAGAAAGTCAAAGAAAGACAGAGAAACTTCCAGATGGAAGGGGACTAGAGAGGCATGACAGGCAAATTCAACATTTGAATCTAGTATTAGATCCTGGCCCAGAAAATCTTATTTATTTACTTACTTTTCAAATAGATGATATTAATGGGACAACTAGCAAAATTTACATAAAGTTTATAGGTAATATATACTTTTTTTTTTTTAATTTTTTATTTTATTGATTTTTTACAGAGAGAAAGGGAGAGAGATAGAGAGCTAGAAACATCGATGAGAGAGAAACATCAATCAGCTGCCTCCTGCACATCCCCCACTGGGGACGTGCCCGCAACCCAGGCACATGCCCGCAACCCAGGCACATGCCCCTGACCGGAATCGAACCTGGGACCTCCCAGTCCGCAGGCCGACGCTCCATCCACTGAGCCAAACCGGTCTCGGCGATAATATATACTCTTATCAGTATAAATTTCTGATCTGCAAAATTATTTAAGAGATGTCCCTTTTTTCAGGAAATAATGTTGAAGTATTCATCCTGTCTATAACTTACTCTCAAGCAGTTCACACACAAAAATAATAGTAGGCATTACACAAAGGAAAAATAATAAAGAAAATAAGAGGTAAAATGTTAACATTTGGAGAATCTGGGTGAAAGGTATGTAGGAATTCTTTGTACTTTTTAGTTTATGTCTGACATTAATTTTTAAAAAAACAAAAACTCTCTGAGGTATAACTTCCTCACTAGCACAACAGAATTAATACACAGACCTAACAAATGAGTTACTACCCTATAAGCTATAAAGTTATAAATGTTAATTATTGTTTTAGTGTGAAGTAGGGTACTCCATGGAGGATTTGTGAATAGGATAAATATGCCACAACTGAGCCTTCATGATTTAGCAGATCAGAAATCTTTTTCAGAAAATAGAGCTATAGCCTGGGCCGCTATGGCTCAGTTGGTTGGGTGTTGTCCCATGCACCAAAAGGTTGTTTTGATTCCCAGTCAGGGCACATGCTTGGGTTATAGGCTCAATCCCCAGTAGGGGGCGTGCAGAAGGCAGCCTCTAGATCAGTGATGGTGAACCTATGACACGCGTGTCAGAGGTGACACGCGAACTCATTTTTTTGGTTGATTTTTCTTTGTTAAATGGCATTTAAATATATAAAATAAATATCAAAAATATAAGTCTTTGTTTTACTATGGTTGCAAATATCAAAAAATTTCTATATGTGACACGGCACCAAAGTTAGGGTTTTTCAAAATGCTGACACGCAGAGCTCAAAAGGTTCGCCATCACTGCTCTAGATGTTCCGCATTCACGTTGATGTTTCAGTCTCTCTCTCCTCTAAAAATCAATAAAAATATTTAAATTTTTAAAAAGAAAGAAAATAGAACTATTGTGGTGATCTCTTCCAAAGATAAGTGGTCTGCCAGGCCATGTGTATGCACATTAGCACTAGTACTTCCATTGTTACTAAGGATAGACTTTGTTTCTTTACTCTGACATCCTTAACCCTCCCAACCTACCACCTAATTGAATAAGTCTAAAGTGAATTGCTAAATTAGTGTGCCCTCAAATAAATTTAGAACACCAGTACCTACCACAGCATCAAACCGGTTATAATAAACTTCTGCTTGGCTCTGCTCAATGTAGCGTTGTTTAGCATGTATAAAAGCTGGTACTCCCCCATATACCCAGCCAATGATGCCTCCTGTAATGGCTGCCTTATAAATATTCTCAAGTTCCTTTGAATTTCTCTGCCGTTCACTAAAACATCAACAACAACAAAAGTTTGGGATTAGTATATGCATACTGCTCTCCAAAAGATAGTATGATAAGAATTATCCCAAAGGCTAACACAACCACATTTTAAATTATGGGCTGAACCAATTAAATCCTCTGATGCATTAAATAGTGCAGTTATAAGTAACTCAAATTTCAGCCAAAACTAATTTATGCTGTTAGAAATTAGGCTGGTTACTCTTGGGAAGGTAGTGACTGAAAGGGGCACAAGGGGAGCTTCAGGGATGCTGGTAACAAGTCTCTTCGTGTTGGGTTTATAAAAACCCACTGATCAATATACTTATATGTTTTTCTAGATGCATTTTATACTCCAATAAAAAGGTTTTTGTGGAGTTTTTTAAAATATATTTTTACTGATTTCAGAAAAATGAGAGGGAGAGACAGAAACATCGATGACAGAGAATCATTGATTGGCTACCTCCTGCCACTGGGAATTGAGCCTGGGTTGCTGGAATTGAACTGTGACCTCCTGGTTCATAGTTTGATGCTCAACCACTGAACCACTCTGGCCGGGCTAAAAAAGTTTTTTTTAAAGGTGCTTTTATTTAATGACTATTACAACTCTACTATACCTTCTAGAAAGAGGAAGAATTTGAGTTGGATGTAGAGATCAATATTTCTTTTTTTTAATTTTAAGCTTTTTTTAAAAAAAATATATTTTATTGATTTTTTACAGAGGAAGGGAGAGAGCTATAGAGTTAGAAACATTGGTGAGAGAGAAACATCTATCAGCTGCTTCCTGCACATCCCCCACTGGGGATATGCCCGCAACCCAGGTACATGCCCTTGACCGGAATCGAACCCGGGACCTTTTAGTCCGCAGGCCGACGCTCTATCCACTGAGCCAAACCGGTTTTGGCAATTTTAAGCTTTTAAAAATTACACACATATGGAATTTTAGGTCAATGTATGCAAGAATGAAATCTTAGATGTATAAGAAAAAAATTTTAAACCCTATCTTTTTTAATACTTCAGGTTTTATGACTGTTAACTGACCCGCAGTCAGGTCACAGGCAATGTGAACCTTGGTTTCCTCATCCATGATGGAGGGGAGCATGAAAGTTACACTAAATTATCTTTCACATTTCTTTCAGCTCTAACATTCTGTGGTTTATAAAGCTGATCAAAATAACCTCTTCTGTTATATACTACATAGGCTCTATCACAAGTATCTCAAATATTGGAAGGACTGATGAATGAGAAAGGCTAACTCATCTTTAAAATAAATATGATGAGCCCTAGCTGGTTTGGATCGGTGGATAGAGCATCAGCCAGCGGACCAAAAGGTCCTGGGTTCGATTCCGATCGAAGGCACTCCAGGGCACGTACCTTGGTTGCAGGCTCTTCCCCAGCCCACCCCCAGTTGGGGCTCCTGCAGGAGGCAACCAATCGATGTGTTTCTCTCCCATCGATATTTCTCTCTGTCTTTCCCTAACTCTTCCACTCTCCCTAAAAAAAAAATCAATGGAAAAATATCCTCAGGTGAAGATTAACAAAGAAACAAAAACAAATTAAAATGATGAGCCCAGCAGGAGTGGCTCAGTTGATTGATTGTGTCATTCTATGCACTGAAAGGTTGCCAGTTCCAGTCAGGGCTCACAGGGAAGGCTATTTATTGATCAGTGAGTGTGTGTGTGTGTGTGTGTGTGTGTGTGTGTGTGTGTGTGTGTGTCTCCCTTCATCTCTCTAAGCATGTCCTCCGGTGAGGATTAAACAACAACAAAAAGATGATAAAATCTAAACGTAGTTATTAAATATAATTCTGCCAACTCCCTTGCCCCAACTATATACCTCTTAGCAACATAATAAAGCTTCAAAGTTAATTTAACCATTTGACAACACAGTGTAGTATTGTAAAAAAAAAAAACTTCATGAAAGGGCAAACTTTTCACCAATAACTGATGAATAGATTAAATGAATCAAAGAATGAATGAAATATCTGGAGTTTTTCATTAAAAGTAATTCAATTCAAAGGATTATACCTTATTCTGAAACTTTCTTATGTGTTAACCCAGCTGATATCTTTTATATGATGATGACACAAGTGGTGCTATTTTACACATTCCTTATGTGGCAGAATAAAAATTTTACAACTCTCCGCCTATCTCTCCAACTTCCACCTTTTGGCAGGGAGGGGAGCTACTGGTCATGAAATAGAGACGTTTGGGATCAAGTGAAATCCAAAAAAAAACCAGTGGAGTGGGATCCTGCAGATATGGGTTCCAGAGTCAATTATGACACTAATTAGTTCGGTCCCGTTCCTCTAATCTGCAAAACCAGGGTATTACACTAAAACTATATTCCCTTAATATGCCTTTAAGCTCTGACTTATGAATCTTACCCTAATCGTTTGAAAGTCGTCCTGTCACCTACACAACTTCCAAATGGACATGACAGGATGCAAGCTCGGGGTGCAAACACAGGAAGCCCAAACCCCATTTAAAAACAAACCACACCACCCTGTGGTCCTCAGCCCCGGGATAACCCAATGCTGCAGCCCCGCCCAGACCCCAAGCACTGTTACTCTTTGGCAAACAGCTCCCGGAGGCGGTCCCATCCAGACTCCAGGGGCTGGGGTCCTGGGATGTATGGAGACGGTAGCTTCTGGTCCTCCACAAGGACCTCCGGGTCGGCGGCTACAGAACTGGCGGCCACGGCCTCCGCAGCAAAGACCCGAGGGAAAGGACCCAGCGTCCAGAGGATGCTCCTTGGCGCCCGCGGCCGCTGCTCCATGGCCGTCCCCGAACCTGCGGACAGACACCAGCTTGGTGATCGGGCCTCTCGGGGACGCCGAGGGAGGACAGCCAGGAGAACTGCAAGAACGAGAGGGTGAACGCCGGTGCCTGGCTGCGAACTTCTCCACGTCACGGGTCCTGACCATCGGAACCCGGGTTCACTTTGGAGGTCCTTGGACACACGAGACAGGAAGTCCTGCCCCAACCAGGGCAAAGGCCAAGGGGCGGGGCGACGGCGACAGCACTTCCGGTCGGAGGCGGGACGGAACTCAGGAGTCCGGAAGTAAGTTAGCGGCGAGTAGCCACGCTCAGCGCCTCTGGCCCCGCCTCCGGCCCCGTCTCCGAGGGCTACGAGGGCTCCGCGTCCTGGGGTCTCTGGCTGGTTCCAGGGGCAGATGTGGTCGCAGATTGGCATAATTTAGCGTATTTAAACACCAGAAAACCCACAGAGATGAATAGGAAAGTGCAATAGTCAATACAAGTGGAGCACGGAGAGAGGAATTTTGTGCAAAAACAAGCTCAACCCACCCTATCCCGGCAGGAGGAGCCTCCTGGGCTAGGTCCACACACACTCCTGCAAGTTCTGGTTTCCAGAAGGACCGGAGGCATGGAAGAGAAGTCAGGTACGCTGAGATTGCAGAACACTGTTTTGAATAGTCAGCTTTGGGCAGTTCCTCACAAGATGATGCATCCTCCCCCCGCCACGCCCCCGCCCTTAGTTCCTATACCTACTGCTTCTCACAAGACAGGACAGTTTCTGGAATTTCCAGCAGGTGTGCGTTTGATAGTGCAGCAATAATTTTCCATCAGTGCAGCCTCTGCTAACATATGCTTCGAAGTAAAGTTTTTATTAAAATGCACGTCTTAAAAATAGTCTCATCGGGTGTGTGTGCTTCCATTTAATCTCTGCTAGCAACCCAATATAGCCTCTTATATTTGCCAATCCCTACCCTTCCTTTATTCCTTTCTAGATGCAATTCAGCGCTTCTACACCCCTTATTAAATAGAATTCTGGAATTTAATAGCTGGTGTGTAGAGCAAGAGCAGAGCAGACTTTTTGGACACTTTACAAGAATCCAGTGTGGAATCACTGTCAGCCATGGCTATTATGTCAAGCATCATGATGCCCAGAACTGAGGTAATGGGGTGAAACAAGAATGCCCTTAGGGTGGTCCTGGAACGTCCCAAAACACAAGGCTGAACCCTCAGATAAGGACTTCATCTGGACACTGATATGAGTGGGACCCCCACCCGCTGTGGCCTCTAAGAACTCAGAGCTTCCACCATTTGACGCTTAAGCTTGGCTGTACCAGGAGTCGCACTTGGAGCCCGAAAGGACTTCTGCTCCACCAGACCATGTCGCCCCTGTAGCTGCCTGGCTTGAGCCCTAAGCCTGCCTCTCCATCCACAGCCCCCACCAGTGATCAGGACTTTGCATGGGGTGTTTACTATGCTCCTTGCTATGCTTGCTCTATCGTATAAGCTCCCCTTTCCTCCGTGTAACCTGTGTGTAACCCTCTTAGCTCCTTGGGGAGGTCTCCTCTAATAAAGCTGGCATTGTGGAAAGACACAAGCATGTGTGACCCCTTTTGGGGATGCTCCCTTGCTCACTACAGCTGGAATTTCATAGGTAAGTCCAGAGAAATGACAGACTAGACTAGCTGAATTAGTGACAATGCCAGAAAGATTTCTTTGGTGTCTGGGAGACAGGATTAGATTCAGCTCCCATCATCACACTTACTACATTGCATCACAACTTTCTATTCGCTGTCTTCGTAGACTAGCTTTGAGGTCAGAGACCACATATATTCATCTCCATGTGCAGGACCCAGCACAGAATTCAGATCCCCTGACTCCTGGCTCTGGCTCTAGGTTGCTGATTATCGCATATAGGCTCAGGTGGGCATCAGTATAAAGTCCTAAGGCCTGAAAGCCCAAGAAAATGGATGTGCACTCTTTATAGTCTACATGTAGAAAAAGCTAAATGCTTAAGATGCTTGATCCCATAATCATTCTGAGATGAGGGAAGACTTGGAGCTGCTGGGCAGGTGTGTTGGGCAGATACTAGTGAATTTATACCCAACTCACATGTTGCCAGGACTCCCTACCTTGTAGGTGCAAAGGAAGTCATATTGACTGCTGGAAGCCAATTCCAGCATGACAGAAGGGCTGAATCCGGGAATGGCTGATGGCATTTCCCCAAACCTGAAAAGGGATGATTGCTTGCTGCCAGACAGTTCAGGGCATCTTAATCTATATGTTATTGCCTCCTACTGGCCAAACACCTGAACAGCCGAAGGCTAATTCCCCCATTCTGTCAATGGACTCTGTATAGAAACCCTGACCCTTTGAAGTGTATATCTCTACCTCGCCTCAGGACAATTTGTGTTAATAAAAAGCATGGGGTCCTGAGACAAGATCTTAGTTTCCTTTAAACTAGGCTCCTCTGACCCCCAGATGCCTTTCAAAATTATATTTCGACTCTCAACTCCTATTTAATCTATGCACAGCCTTCTCCAGATTCCATAACCCTTCTTGATGCCAGAACAAACCGGGCATTAAGCAGCAAATTTCACTAACTCCATAGCTGCCTTTCCCTTTGGGTAACTGGAGTTTCATTTGTAAGGTTCCCTTTGCCAGCCAGTACCTCAAGAAGTTCCTAGAACCTTGGCCACTGCTTAGTTATTTCATCTCAGCTCCTAAGTATCTGTCACGCTTCCACACTCCTGTTTCTGCAAGCCCCTGGGTTTTACTCTCTTTTACCACCAGGGAAATACTCTCCTTACTCTGTGGTCTGCTTTTTGAAGGGTCTCAGAGCAATGATAAACCAAAAAGTGTTCTGAGGTGTAGGTGGGCCACTCTGTTTAACATACAGCTCTCTCCTCCCCAGGATGTGCATTTGCCACCAGAAAAAAGGAGTCCAGGAAGGATTTCAGTACAGTCACATTGTGCCTGGAACTACCATTCTCCTCCCCTTAGTCCTCATTGCTGAGTTCTGCTCATAGAACTCAATAACATCTTCCCCCATCATGAACCTTCTCCCAGGGGTCAAAAGGTTTCCGTTCCCTGCCAGGTTCACTAGGTACTGCCCATGTGACATTAGTCTGTTGTATTACATGTGACATAAACTGTTTCCATAGGTAGAATGAATTTGGAGAACTCCCAAGAACCACTTCATTTACTCATTCCTCAGAGCATAACTCAATTTTTACCTCCATAAAATTTCACTTCTGCACCAGATGAGGATTCCTTCTTCCTCTAAACTCCAAATCCATTGTCTTTAGGAATAATTGGCCTTATAAACAATTGACCTCATGTCCTTTTAATTACTTTCTTTAGGATGCCTCTAGTATTGTTATCATCTCAATGACAGAGCTCCTTTGTGATAGGGAGCCTATTGTATACATTTTCTTATCTCCCACTGTTTGTGCACAGTAGATGCTCAAAAAGTATTTGATAAATATTACATGAGTAATTATAATTGTACCCCTCTGGCTCACTCACACTTTATCTCTGGATGCAGTAGACTTATCTAAAGTGAAGGCATCTTTAGATGCATGCGAAGATGGGTTTGTATTTATGTGTGTTCTTATTCATTATCAGTGTCGGGGTGAAGGACAGGGATATCCTCTTTGGAGCTGACCCAAAAGGAGCCCATTGTTTTTTCTCTTGGGAATATTAGGCTGAGAGAGAGCCTGGAAAATTCTGGAACTATACACAGTAGTACTTTAGAGATAGTCCAGAACTCTTGCTGAGATTCCTGAAGTTGCCTTGCTCTCTACCCTTCCAACTGCTATGGACCTTGTTAAGATTCTTTAAGATGCCTTCATATCCTTTTAATACGTTTTTTTGCTTAATGTAGCTGGGGGCTGTTTCTGTTCTCAGCAACTAGGAGAGCCTGACCTAACAGTGGGATAGGTGGGCCACTGACAACATCACACAAATCATACTTGCCAAATAAAGAAAGGAAAAGCATTGCCTGTCTTATCCAAGTATCCCACTTCATTCAAATAAACTAAATTATACTTTTTCCTTGGGAAAAAAAAAAAAAAAGAGTGGCCTTTAGCTCACTGAGGAGGAAGGGGTAAGTTTGGGACCCAGCTAGTATTAACAATAACAAACAACCATCAGAAATTATAGGGATAAAAATTATTTTCAAAAACATACATTTTACATATTGTTACACACCATCCTCATACCATCTACACTGAGGTAAACAAGTAAGTATAAAAACCGAGTAACATTTGCTGTATTTAAATACAAAGATGCCCTGATTGACTTTGCAAAGGGCAGATGGTAATTTGCATTGTTCCAACTGTTAAGTCTCACACAGTCCCTCATTGGAGCCAATGGCCAGGCAATCTGTGAATAGGATCTAGTTAAGCCAACTGTCTCCATCCATACACCCGTTCACTGAGTCACTGTTCCAAAAATACTTCAGGGTCTACCCTGTGTGAGGCGCTCACTGTACTGGATAATGGAGACATCAAGATGAGTAAAACGTGATTCCCACCCATCAAGAAGCTCGCAGAACAGCAGTCAAATAACTACAGTACAATGTGATGTCATATAATACAGGCATGAGCAAAATATTGTCTCTAACTGCCTAGAGGAATGAAAGAAAGGCTTCAGAGAAAAGGTGATGCTTGAGCTAGAACTTGAAGCAAAAGGGAAACACTCCCAGAAAAATGTACTTTCAGCTCCTAATCCAAAGGACAGAAAATTTTGTTCCTAGTTTGGTGAGAGAAAAAGTAAAATACGAAATAATGACATCTATTAGGACCTCATACGGACAAGGCAAAACCATAATATATATAACTCATAAATCTGGAGCTCTTATCACTACACTTATAGCACCTAAGGACACAATCCCCATTAATTTTTCATGCTAAAAAAGTTCAACTTTAAATGTCTGGCTTATTCCACGCAATGGTCTTACCAGTGATATTTAACTCCTCTAAGAAGGTCTTTATGCTTAAATTTTTGTGGAAGGAAGTTTAAAAGGCCATTTCTCACAAAGAGAATAAAATCCTGATTTTATATGACTGAATCTCACATTTACTAATTTTGAAACCAATTAATACCGATCTGTTCTTAGGAGTCAGAGGGAAAGAACTGATTTCTCTGCAGAAATGTTGGGCTTAAGGGACAAGGATGATTCTAAGTCATCAGACTATATGAGTTTCAATCTAACAATTTTTCTTCATTTTTGACTGTTAGCAAGAGCATCCTGAGAGATTAAACTAGTATTTAATAGTAAAAAAGGGGAAAAGCAGATCCTGCAAGACAGTGAGTGTGTGGACTGCTGCCAGTTGAAGGAGGAAAAATATTAGGGATGTGCAAAGAGTGAAGAGTTGCTGTCCTATGCACAGTTCCTTCAAAGAGTGAGGACTCCTTCTTAACTTGATTAAGAGGTTTATGTATTTTTTTTAGAGACCATAAAAAGAAGGGTATGAAGGCACAAAAGGAACTTGAGATCCAATTGCAATTACTCATGCAACTGGTCCCTTTCTATATGGCATTATAGAAACCTCCTGAGTACCAAAGAGTTAATGCTTTTACAGAAGGGGACTCCTGTGTCAGTGCATGGCACAACTACTGCTTCCTTAGACCTTTCAAAAAATAATCCCCAAGTGCCTTTCACAAACCCTATAGACTGAGCTTCCTACGTTAAAATATAGCATCAAAGTTCAAGCCTAGAATAACTGCAGAATTGCGGCGATGAGTTGTACTAGTTCCAAATGATTGAGTTTCTGCTCCAAACTGTGGCACAAAGAACATCATCCCATGGACACAGTCAGGTTCACAGTGATGTACATATATATGTGGATGACCTGAGGCACAAGCTGTGATTGGTCCTAAGAAAATGAAAGGTAGAATCGGGTACAAAACCCATATATCATGATTTCTGGTCCTTGTTCAGCCAAAGCGTTGAGCTGCTTCATATCTGTGTTATACACGTTTTGGATCTTTCTCGAGACTTGCTCTGGGTGCAGCATGACAAGGAAAACAAGATATTTGTCTTGGTAACAGTAGTCAAGGTATAGGTGCTACATTCAGGGTAAGCTCCCCACCACAGGGTATCTCAGATCTGCTGCCCTAGAGAGGACTTGATCCGATGATGGCTATTAGAGTTCAGTTTTCAAAATTTTGGGAATAATCTGATCATAGCCTTTTCTTCTTGTTACATTATAGGACAGGAATTTAGAGTATTCAGTCAACAGGTTCTCCCAGTAACAGGTGATGTCATCCATCCTCAAGTGGTTCATAATAAAATGGCTTCCTCTAGAGACAAAATTAACAAGAACTTTTAAAGCACAGCATTTAATAGTACTAATAGCTTATAATTGAGTGCTTGCCTTGTGCCAAGCACTGTTCAGAGTACTTTATATGATTTAACTCTTTCGATCCTCAGAACTAACCCTCTAGGCATCATATCCACACATGTGCACTTAGCAATAGAACTTAAATTTTTTTCTTAAAAACAAACATATAAACATTGAGTACTCAGTTATCTCAATAATTTCAGTCTACTTCTATAAAATATGGGCTTGGGACATTTGTGAATGTGTGTTTTTCTCCCCAGAGTCGCTTTAATTTGGATTATCTCTGTATAATAAAGATCCAATCCAGTTATCACCATGGTAACACTATTAATATAACTTTGCTAGGGCAAAATAGGGATGATAAAGTGGAAAAGGAAAAATGAACAGAACTTACCTTTCAGCGATTTCTTGAGCTATGTCATCATTTGCTTTTACAAAATGCAACAGTTCCCTAAAATGGAAAGGATTATTAGACTCTGAAATATAGAACAAGCTTATCAGCACTAAATCAGAAATACCATAGATTACAGTTAATCTCTAGGTATGTGGATGGTAGATTTTTTTTTTAAAGGGAAGATATCAGGGTCCCCACAGGAACAAAATAACAACAGAAGTCCCCCCACACGCTAAAGGCAATGTGTTCTTGTTTTGGGTCATATTTGAGAAAATAGAGAAACGTTCAATAACACACATCAAAAATCCATAGTGAAGAAGACACTTCCCTCCTGTCTCCTGCTCTGGCCCCTTATGTTTTGGGCCCCTCTCCTTCCCTCTTGCTAGCTCCTCCCATCATGAGAGGAAATTTTTCTCAGCTTCACTGGGGGCAATTTCTCATGCTATCAGAAAGTTTCTTAGACAATATAATAATATCCAACATCCCTATCTCCAGTCTTTGAAAGATTAGAGTTTTTTCACTGCGTACTGTCTGCATGTTAACATTTTGAACCAGCACTAGAGCACTTTTTCAAATGAAATCCTACTGATAGCCTAGTTGGATAGAAGTTCAATAATATCTATGTGAACCGAATAAGAAAGAAAAAGCTCTTAATGGAAAAAGTCATCAGGAGTAAATGCCTTAAGTGGCTGGGGACTTAGAGGCAGATTACGGGAGGGACTGGAATCTCTGCCTGGGAGAGAGTAGCTTACTGGACATTGGAGAGATCTGTTTTGACTGGGATATAGTGAACCCACGGCTTCAGCTGTGGATAGAAGAATTCCAGCCACTCATCACCAACGTGGAAAACCAGTGAACCACACAGGAAGAGGTGCTTGAACCGGAAACTTGCAGCTACACCTCGAAAATTAAACAGATACCTGAGAAAGAAAGAGCAGAATACACTCGGTACTACATACTTGCTGCCACAAAGGACCTTTTTATTTTCTTAATCCCTTCTCCCCTTCTATGACCCCTCTTCCTTCTCCTTCCATTTTGATTTTTCAAGGACACATCAGCATGTCCCTATGGAGTTTCCATAAACTCCTTGCTTTTCCAGGGGCTACAGGTTGTTCTTATAAATGTCAGGATGAGAGGGAAGGGGGATACTTTCTCCAGGCAGAGCTAGATAGGGCCAGGAGCTGGGTGCTGAGTAGAAAGGATGCAAAGGCTCAGATGGAAATGATACCTCATACTTGCCTGTAAGCTAGCTAGGCCTCATATCTCTAACTCATCTTGCCCACCCCTAGCCTCGTTTCCCCCATAGGGTATCCCATCTGGTCAAAAGCATCCCAGTTCCCTCTTCTTCTGAAGTCTGGAGAGGACAACCAGGCATGCCTAATCAACCTTCAAAGAAATGCCTCCTGTAAAAAAATCTACCTTAGCCCTAGCCAGTTTGGCTCAGTGGATAGAGCGTCGGCCTGCAAACTGAACGGTCCCAGGTTCAATTCCGGTCAAGGGCACATGCCCAGGTTGTGGGCACAATCCCCAGTGGGGGACTTGCAGGAGGCAGCCGATCCATGATTCTCTCTCATCATGGATGTTTCTCTCCCTCTCCCCCTCTTCCTTCCTCTCTGAAATCAATAAAAAAAAATATATATATATATATATATTTTAAAACTATCTTAGAAAAAACATTTTCTTTTCAACATGCCTCATGCATGCACCTGTCTCCAACCAGCGTTGCTCCTCCCTATAGTTCCCACTGTGCACTGCAATCAGCATTCATCTCTCTGGATCCCCCCAGCATCCCGTTCCTGATCTGGTTTTACCTGTTCTTCTAATTCCTAGTCCTGGCATTTAAATATTTTAGTTATATATGCTTTATTCATGTTGACCCTTAAACTGTGTTATTAACCTGATAAATACGTCATCTAACTTCAGCTGTTGACTGGGTGGGGTGTGGAGAGAGAGAACACCGTCACCCTGATTAGCACACAGGCCTTATGGAAGCAGGGACCATATTTCTTATCGACACGGTTTCCCACAGAACTTAGGCCAGAGCCTTGTGCACAGCATGTTCTCAGTAAATAAGAGTTAAATGAATTATTGTGACTTTCATAAATCCCAGCTGGGCCCTGGTATTACAATTCTCCCCCAAAGTGCAGCTCTTCCAAAAGCAAAAGGGAAACCGAGAGTCAGGAGTTCGGGAAGTCTTACTTGTATTTGCAGTGATCCACGAGATGGACATCCTTAGCAGCTGGCTTTCCCAAGGTATCCTTTAAGTGAAAAGGAAGTCATTAATATTAGCAATGGTAGCATTTATTGAAGACCACTGTGCAGCCAACAAGGTAAACATTTCAAGAACATGATCTCATTTAAGTCTCATAATAAACATACTCTGGAAGCATTATTACCCCATTTGATAGATGAAGAAGCCGAAGCTTTGAGAAGCTAGATTTGCTCAGGGTCACATGTCCTAAATTGTAGAGGTCATGGCCTACAGCAAAATTTCACTCTATGTAATCTCGGCATGCAGGAGGTCACAAGTGGTAGTTGTTGGGCTTAGAGGTGTAAACCACCCACAAATTTTGTTGGCCATGCAAAGTTTTGAAGTAAATATTCAAACCACTGCTAACACTTATAGGTAGTAGGATAGTCCTTACAAATATCCAGATTTTTGGCTTTTCTTGTAAAGAGAAAGAAGATGTGATAAACTGGGCACCGATCCCCCTCGAGAACAATGACTGGACCTTTAGCGCTGACTCCTGTGGCCCCTGGGGCCTCTGCAGCTGAGACCCCCCATCTACGCATGTTCCAGCCACCTGAGCAGATGGCAACCTTGTTGATGAGGGGAACAAAGCCTGTTTGCTTCTGCAGCCTCCTACAGTAGCTGCTCTGCTGAATGGATACATTTTTTTTCGTATTTTTTTATTTTTACACAAAGCTTCTTAAACTTCATTTGCACCCATTTGATTAAAACTATCCTATAATAAATATACCCATCTTAAAGATATACTTAGTTTTTCACACAAGAAGTTTAGAATTTTTTCTCATATCATGTGGAAGTTTCAGATGAGTACATTTCAGGCTTAAAGTCCTTTGAATAAGGCAAGAAGTCATAGAGTTAATAGGACAGAGATGGGCTCCAAACCAAAGCCAATCATTGCTGGCTTTACCTTAGAATAGTTGGAGAGTTTTAAACAAATCAAGATGAGATTCTCATTTATTTGAGTCATTTTTAAGCTCTCTGGCTGGACTGTATAGTCAGGGTTAAAAACCACTGCTTTAAAACAGGGGTTGGCAGACTACAGTCCATAAGCCAAATCCAGTTTATTATTTGTTTTTTGTATACAACCCATAAACTAAGAATATTTTTACCTTTCAAATGGTTGCAAAAAATCCAAAGGAGAATATTTTGACACATAAAAATTACATAAAATTCAAATTGCAGTGCCATAAAGCTTTACCAGCACACAGCCACGCTCATACATTTACACGTTGTTTATGGCTGCTCTCGTGCTCACGATCCACAAAGCCTAAAAAATTTACCATCTGGCCCGTTACGTAAAAAGTTTGTGACCTCTGGTTTAAACCTTCAAAATAGCATAAAATACTACTCAGAACATGGGCCAGGAAAGCAATGTGAGTTTGAAAAAGAGTAATTTACATGTGTGCTAATACTAGTTCATGGAACTTCCTCTACATCCTTCCCATGACGGACAGGGAACCTAATCTGAAATTCTACCCAGGTGGCAATGTTCTTTGAGTGAGAATGTTCGCTGCTTTAGTTTCTATTCAGATGATTGGTGATTACTTTCATAGACTTCCAGGCCTGGTTTTTGGTGTACTCTGCATCAACAAGTTTTGGATTTTTCCGAGATAGAAGAATGAGAGGATCTCGTTCTGGACTTGTCCTATAAAAGAAACACATGACATAAAACTATGTGTTCTACACCATAATACTGTTCACCATCTCTGGAAGGTAAGCAGTCATTGGACCCAATGCAACTCAGGTGGACAACTCACTGGTCACTTTCATAGCAGAGGAGGGGGATATTGGATACTGCAGCCTCTAGGTGGTCCTGGGCTGTCCCCACTTTACCCTTCAGGGATGAGAATTTGGTCCTTCTTTGCTTGCACCTAGTTTTTAAGATTATGATGTTCTGGTCACTACAGCCATATCCCAGGGAATGATTTCCCTTTTAGGAGGGTTCATGTAGCCTCTATGATCAATAGTACCCATAGCTGTGTGACTATGTAATCACCACTCACCAAAATAGCTGCATGACCTTCGTTGCGTGTGCTCTGTAAAGTCTATATAGTATTTAAATGAAAAAGAAAACAAAAAGGCTTAAAACCCTAAGATTATATGGAAAAAAGTCCTTGCTAAGTGGTCTTGACATTGGGGGCATGCCATGGACCCCCTGAGAATGTGATAAGAACTATGGACTCTCCTCTCTAGAAAAAATGCACATATGCCCCTGTAATTTCAAGAAAGTCCTAAAACCTTTGAAGTCCGCACATGGATCCCACGTTAAGAATCTGTGATCTCAAGACTTGAGCATCAGAAAAGTTGATAAGGAACAGTAAGCAGTGGCTGAAGCTCATCTGCACTTGAAGTCCACTGCTCACAGTAAATAGAGGGTGGGATCTCTGATGAGGACTCACTGAGAAAATGACAAAACCCTCTCTTCACAGTCTCTTCTGTATTCATCTGTTCAACACACATTCATTATGTGTCTACGTGGCAGATGCTGACCTTGACACTGGGGATACGGAGCTGGGCACGGAAGGGGTCCTTCCCCAACCTTTCCCTTTCCCTCTTCCTCTCTGTTTTTACAGTTTCGGTCTGTGCTCTCAACCACTATGTGGCAGCCACATGGTCTGATGAAAAAAGCAGTCAGGAGGTCCACTGATGGTATTAACCAGCAGAGTGACTGGGCAAGGTCATAGCTACTCCTAGGAAACTGTCATCGCTCAGGCAAGAAGACAGCTCATCTTTCCGTTCAACGTTATATACTCAATGCCCATCACTCGTGGCACTCTGCAAATATCTGTTCGAATTTCAGTTCGATGAAGAGTGCTTTGAGCAAATAATTTGAGTTCTTATCTAGTCTAAAATTCTGTGATTCTATGTTTATGTCTTAGTCTTCTTTGTGAGATAGAGTTTGCTATGTCCTCAAAATTACTTACATTTTACACATTAACTGTAAGAATATCTTTGTAAAATGTCCAAAAATATAATCACCTCGATCCTCGGAAATATGCTGTGGAGTTTTTCTTTTTCCATGGCCACTGTGCTGCTGATCTGAAAATAGATTTTGATTAGTTTCTGTGTTTTCTTCTTAACTTTATAAGGATGTGTTCTAACCATTTCTGAGGATAAGTTCAGAGCTTTACATTTTTCAATTAAGTCTGAGCCAGGCTATTCAAAAGAAAAATCTCACCCTGGCCAGTTTGGCTCAGTGGATAGAGCATCGGCCTGCGGACTGAAGGGTCCCAGGTTCGATTCTGGCCAAGGGCACATGCCTGGGTTGTAGGCTCAGTCCCCAGTGGGGGGGCCGTGCGGGAGGCAGCCAATCGATGGTTCTCTCTCATCGTTGATGTTTCTATCTCTTTCTCCCTCTTCCTTCCTCTCTGAAATCAATAAAGAAATATATTTAAAAAAAAGAAGAAGAAAAAGAAAAATCTCTAAATGGCATGCTGTTCCTTTTTGGTATTACTTCATTCCTCTGGAGGTGTTAGCTCGTAATATCTACAAATCTACTGCTCCATTACTAAGTTGACAACGTTCAAAGAAAAGTTCCCAAACACTGAATGACATGTTTAGGGCTATTTAATTCAGAGGATTTCTTCCCTACTTTAAGTAGAGTGCTGTTGATAAATTAACATACAGATAGGACTGCAGAAAATATCAGAAACTGAATTAAGGGCAAGAAAACAAATCATGTTTTGAAGACATAGGAGATGTTGTTAGATTTCGTCTGATTTTGCAAAGCACCCTGGCATTCTCGAAACTGTACTAAGTGCTCCACAAACATGAAGTCCCTGAAACTCAGTTCTCGGAACACACATTATCCTGACCAGCATTCCTTGCTGAACCTACTAGCTCACAGACATAGCATTCTTAACTTTCTTTGTAGGAACCCTGCACAGAAGTTTTTCAATGTCTTCCTCTGAAAATGGAGGAGAGGGCTCAACTGGAGTTAAAGAGGGCTTGCTGGTCTATATTGGTGAACTGAGACTTAGCTTACAAACTTTTTAGGCAGAGATACTTTTCAGACACATAGTGTTACATTACTCACTTCTCTCTGCTGAGAGCACTGCTCCATGTTTCCTGGCATATCTCCAGCCCTTTCCTGCTGGTTCACCTTTTCCCAGTTCTCCAGCCCAAAACCAGCACTTTCTCATTCTCTGCCCCATATTCCATTCCACCAAAATACAAACACTACAGCACTTGGTTTTTTGTTTTGTGGATTTTTCAGCGGGAAAAATGATATGTGCTCATTATATAAAATTCTAATGGAAAATCATCAAATAAAAGCAGAGAAAGCATCGTCAAATTCCCCTACTCACAAATAAACACTTTTAACAATTTAATGTTTCAATGAAAAATTTCCTTCCAATCATCTCTCCTATCAGGGATCTAACTAGAGGGCAATTTGACCCTCTCCCTCAGGGGACATTTGGCCATATCTATAGACATTTTTGATTGTCACTCCTGGGGGATTGCTACTAGCCACTAGTGGGCAAAAGCCAAAGGATGTTGCTAAACATCCTATATTACACAGGACAGCACCCTACAACGAAGAATGATCTGGCCCCAAATGTCAATAGTCCCAAGACTGAGAAACCTCGTTCTATATAACAGATCATACCATACATGATGTTGGGTAACATTCTTATAAGGACAAATATTATAGATAATAACAGCCAACACCTATATAGCACTTACTATGTTCCGGACACTGTTCTAAGTGATTTATACCTTTATTAACTTATCCTCACAACCTTATGAGGTGGGTTTCATTTTTCTTACTTTACAGTTGAGGCTCTTATGAGGTTAAGTAATTTGCCCACAAGTCCCATAGCTAAGAAGAGCCAGGAGTTGAACCCAGAGTCCTTGTCCTTAAGCCCTATACTAATTTTATTTTCACTCACACATGGTATGTCATAATTTGTTTCTTATGGGTGGACTTTTAGGTAGTTTCCAACTTTTTGCTTTAAGAAATAACACTGTAGTGAGTATCCTCATACATACATCTTTGCACACTTGTCAAATGAACCCATCAGGATAAATTCTAGAAGTGAAATGGCAGGGTCAAAGGATATATACACTTTAAATTTTGATATATTTTGCCAAACTATCCAACAAAAAATTGTATTAATTTATATTCAAATTTTTAGTATACATTTCCTTGGTGCCTGGGAAATTTGTGTTTAATATACACAGACTTGAACGATGCATCATCTCTATTTCCCCTCCCCCTCATTCTTCCTACCCACCTACCAATTTCTCAAAAGACCTATCTTAGAACTTCTTTTCCAGGCAAGTGCTAACAGTGGCCACCACAGTCTGGGGTGTCCCAGCCCTCTTTGATTACCCTCTCCCCCCACCTCTGACAGTAGGGAGTGAAATCTTTAAATCTACAGGGACAATGAATTCTCCTATAGAATGAAAAATAAGTCAATAGGGACAAACTCACCCAAAATTATAAAAAGAGAAAAATGGCAGGCCAATGCAGTTGGATAAACAAGCAGACTATTTAAGTTTCAAGGTGAAAAATAAAATCACATAGCTAGAGATTCTAAATGGAAGGATCTAAGAAATAAAATGGCAATTTTATAATCCTATATAATAAAAGCCCAGCCCTAACTGGTTTGGCTCAGTGGATAGAGCGTCGGCCTGCGGACTCAAGGGTCCCAGGTTCGATTCTGGCCAAGGGCATGTACCTTGGTTGCGGGCACATACCCAGTAGGGAGTGTGCAAGAGGCAACTGATTGATGTTTCTCTCTCATCGATGTTTCTAACTCTCTATCCCTCTCCCTTTCTCTCTGTAAAAGGTCAATAAAATATATTAAAAAAAAGAAAACAAGAAAAAGAAAAGCCCAGCGACCAGAATGGCAGAACAACCAGAATGACCAGAGACCAGAACGACTGCAGCCCCTCGCCCCGGCCGGCCCCACCCCCCAGCGGGAACCCCCACCCCAATCGGGGGTGTAGCCTGCCTGCAAACCGCCCCTAGCCCCTCGCCCTGGCTGGCCCTGCCCCCCAACGGAGACCCCTACCCCGATCTGGGGCCCCCATCCGGGCAGGCTGGCTGGCCCCCACCTGTGCACTGGGATTCTATCCTATATTATAAAAGGGTAATATGCAAATTAACCCTAACAGCAGACGAATGCTCGACCAGTCACTATGAGGCACACTGACCACCTCTTGGTCCCTTTCCCTGGCCGGCAGGCTCCGATCGCCTAATGGCGAACGGGGAACCAGGGATGGGTGGCGGGGGATGCGGGTGGCACCAGGCCTAGGACCCCGTCCCACCAGTCGCCCCACACACAGAGGGCAATCCATGGTGGGGGCAGGGCTGGCGAGTGGGCGAAACGGCTGACTTCTTATTCCCTTTTCCCAGCCATCAGGCTCCGATCGCCAGATGGTGAACCAGTAACCGGGTGGGTGGCAGAGGAGGAAGATGGCCCTGATCGCAGGCCAGGCCTAGGGACCCTACCTGCACACAAATTTTGTGTGCTGAGCCTCTAGTCATAAATAAATTCAGTTGAAGAATATAAGGGGAAGGTATCAAAAGAAAAAATTCATCTAAGATTAGATTTTAAGACATATTCTATCTCGCTATAAATTGCTTATTAACTTACAAGGGGAGAAATAGTAACTATACAATGAAAGAAACGGATAACACCTTGACAAGGTGATCCAAATCAACATCACTAATGAGGGGTGGATGGATGAAAAATGACTTATGTGGTAAGTAAATACAGTATTCGGACAAGCAATGCATAAACTGAATCTGATCATGAGGAAACAGACAAAACCAAATTGAAGAGTGTTCTGCATTCTTCAAAATGTCAGTGTCATGAAAGAGAAAAACAGACTAAAAAGCTGTTCCAGATCAATGGAGACTGGAGAGACATAACAACTGCATGCAATACATGATCTTGGCCTGTATCCTGTACTGGAGGGGGAAAGCACTATATAGGGCATTACTGAGACTATAAAGTGTTGCAACAATACTGTTTCCTGAATTTGGTAATTACAGTGTGGTCATAAAAGAGAACACCCTTGCTTTTAGGAAATATGCAACTAAAATATTAAAGGGTAAAGGGTCATACTCTGAAATAGCCCATAAAAACCAAATTATGTGCCCTAACAGGTTTTGTTCAGTAGGTAGGGTGTTGGCCCGTGGACTGAAGTGTCCTGAGCTTGATTCTGGTCAAGGGCACGTACCTTGGTTGCAGGCTCGATCCCTGGCCCTGGTTGGGGCACGTGCGGGAAGCAACCAATTGATGTGTCTCTCTCACATTGATGTTTCTCTCTGTTTCTCCCACTCTCTTTAAAAATCAATGGAAAAATATCCTCAAGTAAGGATTTAAAAAAACTATTAAAAATTATGCATATAAAAAATTATGCATATATTATATATATATATGGCTTAAATGTCCATCAAAAGACATAATAAGCCCAGCCGGTGTGGCTCAGTGGTTGAGCGTCGACCTATGAATCAAGAGGTCACAGTTCGATTCTAGGTCAGAGCACACGCCCAGGTTTTGGGTTCGATCCCCCATAGGAGGTATGCAGTAGGTAGCTGATTGATGATTCTCTCTCATCACTGATGTTTCTATCTCTCTCACTCTCCTTTTTTCTATGAAATCAATAAAAATATATTTTAAAAAATTAATTCTGAAATGAAGGCGGGATGGGATGGAACCAACAGGCCAAAGCATATCTCAATCATATATAGAGAGGATCTGAAGGAAGCTTGTCTTTGAGATTCCTACGGGACATTGATGCCCACTCCATCCCCACCTAACAGACTTAGTCCTAAATTATAAAGTGCATTTCTGTTCCTCTAAGTAATGTTCTATCCTCCCTCATTCATTTTTTCCCCTCATTATAAAAGTAATTCACTCTTAGAGAATCTTAAAAGCATAGAAATGTTTAAAGAAGAAAAGGCTTCTACAATCTTCCACAGAGGCACTGCTGATAGTTTAGAGCAGGTTCTTCTGTTCTTTTTCTATGGATACATATATAATTTATACACAGGTTAAATTGCTTTTGCTATAAACAGTTTTTTGTCTTTTATTTTTAACTTAAGAGTTAGTCATTTTAAGGTAATGGTTTATACGCTACTGTTTATTTCAAGAAGACCCATAAAGAGGGAAAAACATAACCTCCCTAAAGGACCTACCTTACCAGATCTTCTCTGAAGAGGTCCCACCGTCCAAGACCCGTAGGATAAATTGGCCAAACAGCGGGTCCCCCTTCCCAAAAGGTCCAAGCAGGATACATGATATCATGGTACTCTGATGTCTTCAATAGAAACAGAAAGGTCATTCTAAATCAGTTGCACAACAGAGGGAAAAGCAGCCAACTGCATTCATGCCACAGGATCTGGACAAAGGCCTTGAAAGCCCTAGTGCCACATTGTCAAAGGTAAAGCTGCCCTAGTCTGCGAAGTCTAGACTCCAGTCATTAAAGGACAAAAATGACCACGAGTTAAAATTCATGGATTTGAAACTGCAGTGAGGGCCAACTTTCCCAGTTCCCCAAAGTTCCGTTTTTCTAGAGGACATCCACTGTCAGGGTTTTTAGTTTAAGGAAATAATATACACAATCCTGAATGATTACATAGCTCTCTCATCTTTTAGCTGCTATGACACTTGGATGGTATACTGACTCACCAGTTCTTGGTTATTTCCTAGATGGGTCTTTTGAGAGCAAGAATTAGGAAATACAGTGCAGTGGTTTAGAATGTGGGCTTTTGAGACAGATCATCTGAATCTGAATGCTGACTCCACCTCTTTTCAAGGCTCTAGACAAGTTACTTAATCTTTCTTCTACGCCCAGTTTCCTTATCTTTATAATGGGAGAAATAATATCAATAATACTATCTATATAATAGGCTTGTTTTGAATATTAAATGAGCTATACATGTACAAAGTTTAGAACAGCATCTGATACATATTGGGTACTCAGTAAGTGTCAGTGCTACTCAAGACTGGCACTGCTGAACTCACACTGGCTGGTCAATAAAACCTTGGTTACTCATCTATCAGGGTTAGAAGTGCTGATGGGCAGAATGGGGTAAGAGGTGTTATCTCACATCTTTTGAAAAAAGTTTGAAACCATTTGTTTCCTTTTTATGGTTATTTCTGTTAAAACTCTAGCCACTCACCCTTGTTAGTTAGAGCATTATCCGGATATGCTAAGTTGTGGGTTCAATCCCCAGTCAGGGCACATGCAAGCAACCAATGAATGCATAAATAAGTGGAACAACAAATCGATGTTTCTCTTTCTCTCTCCCCAGCCCCTTCTCTAAAAAGAAAAACATTTTGGCCACTGATAAACCTCTAACTCTACTGTTTCTTCCATTGAAATCACACATGCAATATGCTGTTTGCATTCTCTCAAATCCTTAAAAATGTATTTGAGCAGCCATAGCTGCTCAATAGAAGATGCACAATTACTATAAAGTTGACAGTCTAAAATGCCTCCTTTGGCCTTAGCTGGTTTGGCTTACTAGACAGAATGTCCAACCACAGACTGAAGGGTCCTGGGTTCGATTCCAGTCAAGGGCACATACCTGGGTTGCAGGCTCGATCCCCGTGCCAGAGGCAACCAATCAATGTGTCTCTCTCACATCCATGTTTCTCTCTCTTTGTTTCTCCCCCTCCCTTCCACTCTCTCTAAAAATCAATGAAAAAAATACCCCTGGGTGAGGATTTAAAAGAAAAAAAAATCCCTTATTTGGAAAGTAGAAGTCACTGATTAAAAAAAAAAAAAAAAAAAGGAGGGAGGTAAAGATGAAAAGGAAGTTAGTATACTGATGGTCATACTTTATTATCCTCAGAAACAACAGGTAAATAACAAAGTCCTCACTAACTTATATGGGAGCCTCTATTTGTTCGTCTGGAAGGCGTTCATGACAAACAATGGGACCAAGCACTTTTGAGAAATGAGGCTAAGTCATGGGAAATGCGCACAAATGTGCCTCAGACCACTTGCAATACAGGAAATAAACAAGTCTGGAAGGAAAGTAAACTGTGATAAAGAAAAGGTGGGGATAAAAAGTCCCTTTGCTTTGGGAAAACCAAATCAGAGATGATGTTCCTTTTCGCAAAGTCCATAGGGTTTTCCTAAACCTACTCTTCCCCATAGAATCTTCCACCCACTCCCTTTTAGTTCCCCCACCCCTGCCCTCACATGCATTCAAACTCAGTCTCTAGGGATCCAAGGCCCATCCCTGCCGATACACCATTTACAAGAACCTGAGCTCTGGCAAGACATTAACTGTCCCAAGTTCCACAAGCCCACAGATGTGTCCTAGTATCCTATCCTTCCATAACTAGACCCAAATGCCACCCTCTCGCAAATCCCTCTTGGATATCCCAGGCCTAGCCCCTCAGTGTGCTGCTTGGACACAAACTGTGTGGAGTGATCTAACACATTCGGTTTCACTGTTAGCCATGCTGGGCCCCTGGGATACAGTGACACATAAGCCAGATGTTACCAAATACTGTGGCTGATGTACATATTATAGGAGCTCAACAAATATTTTTTTAACCCATTGTACGCCATAGGCGCCTGTCGATGCAAGCAGCAGACCTTCCCCACACACCACACACGTCTATAAAAAAATGTTTTCCCCAAGTGGCAGCCCTGACCGACTTTAAAATCATTTTTTTGTGTGAATTTTCAGCTGAAAATATTCCAGAACACCCAAATTGTGAGTAATATATTTATTTTTATAATACTCATTGCAAACTGGTTTTTTAAATTAAATTCAAAATATCATGGCGTGTGGGGATGGTTTCCGTTTTGGACGCCAGGCAGTTAACTGGTTAAATGTGCTCTCTAATTCCAAGCCCAGAAGCTTTCTTGGGCCTCTCTCTTTCTTCCTTTCTCTCTCTCTCTCTCTCTCTCTCTCTCTCTCTCTCTCTCTCTCTCCCCCCACACCTCTCCCCACCCCCTCTCTCTCTGTCTCTCTCTCGGATCTCTGAACCCCACCTCCAATGTCCACTAGGTTCTTCAGGCCTCTCCTTCCCTACCCTCTATCACTAGCTCTATAGACACTTAAGCAATCTTACATTACTTACAGATCTTCAACCCTATCTCCTCAGTCTCATTGCTCAACTACTAACAGGGACACAGACTCAGTTCTGGATCTCAGGCCCCATCCTCACCATGACCCCTTAGACTCTGTCATAGGACAATCATCTCCTGCTCATATCCTAGAGCTGGGTGGGGAACATCTGGCCCACAGGCAGTATAAGGCTCTCGAGATCATTTGGTCTGGCCCTGCCAAGGCATTAGGGGTGAATTAATTAAATGTTTGACCAAATATTGCAGGCTAATTTTTAAGTTGAGAATTTTGTATGGCCTGTGAATGACGTTATGGATATCCAAACGGCCCAGCCAGCGTGGCTCAGTGGTTGAGCATCGACCTATGAATCATGGTTCAATTTCCAGTCAGGGCACATGGCCAGGATTCGGTCTTGATCCCCAGTGGTGGGTGTGCAGGAGGCAGCCAATCAATGATTCTCTCTCATCATTGATATTTTGATCTCTCTCTTCCTCTCCGTGACTCTCTGAAATATTTATATATATATATATATAAAAATAATAAACAAATATCCAAATGGCCCTTGGCAGAAAAACGGTTCCCCCGCCCCTGTCCTAGAGGCTCACCCTGCATCATCCCCTCATATGGTTCTTCCTATGCTCACCTTGCTGAAGGAGAAGACTGGAATGGCAGGCTCCATCCATTTAGGAACCTGAGGATAATCTCGTACATTGATCACCATCTCCATGTCAGGAAGGCGCCCGATAACTTCCAAAATAAAGTGTTCCACACCACTGCATCTGTCAAACAGAAATACCATAGATTCACCAGAGCAGTGCCTGCTCTAGGACAAGGCAGTGTCCCAGGCACACTTTATTTTATTTTTTAAATATAGTTTATTAGCATGACATTTTTTTTTTCCATTGATTTTTAGGGATAATGGAAGAGAGAGGGAAAGACAGAGAGAGAAACATCAATGTGAGAGAAACACATCAATTGGTTGCCTCCTGCACGAGCCCTGACCAGGGCCCAGGCTGGGAGGAGCATGCAACCAAGGTACGTGCCCTTGACCGGAATCGAACCCGGGACCATTTGGTCCGAAGGCTGATGCTCTATCCGCTGAGCCAAACTGGCTAGGGCCCCAGGCGCACTTTAAAAAAATGTTTTTAGTCTCCTGCATGCCCCCTACTGGGGATTGAGCCTGCAACCCTGGCATGTGCCCTGACCAGGACTTGAACGGGTGACCTCTTGGTGCATGGGATGATGCTCAATCAACTGAGCACACTCGCTGGGGCTGGAAGTTTTATTTACTAGTATATAGGAGACTCCTAAAAGGGAGGTATATCATTAGTTGTATCATCAGTCCATGACCCTCCTGCTCACCCCCAACTCTCATCCCACTGATTCATAATTTGTAGCTCCTGCTACTCCTCGTGACTTTCTACCATGATACTTCGCATACTTGGTATCTAGAACAGGGGTGGGCAAACTTTTTGACTCGAGGGCCACAATGGGTTCTTAAACTGGACCGGAGGACCGGAACAAAAGCATGGATGGAGTGTTTGTGTGAACTAATATAAATTCAAAGTAAACATCATTACATAAAAGGGTACGGTCTTTTTTTTTTTTAGTTTTATTCATTTCAAACGGGCCGGATCCGGCCCACGGGCCGTAGTTTGCCCACGGCTGATCTAGAACAATAGTTGGCCTTTGAAAATCCATGCTTTGCCTCCACCTTCAGCACAGCTCACTCCTGTTAGGTCTTATCAGCCTGTGTCCTGCAGCTACAACATCCAGAGAAAGAAGAGAAGGGACAGAGCAAAGGCCAGTATAGCCAGTGACATGCCCAAGCCTCACAAAGAGAGAAGACAGGCTTTGATGTAGGAGAAGAGAGGATAGGAGTTGGCAAGAAAAATTCCCAGGCAAGAAGAGCTTGTCATGGGAGGAGGAATTGACCTGTGGGGTCCCTTTAATGGGCTTCCCATAAGGACAGAATCAAGTAAGCCCCTATGTAATAAGGTCAGAAGATATATTTGCCTTATAACTCTTACCTTGAGGGAAACATGCAGTCATTTTCTCGGTATAATCTGTTCTTAATGATCTGATAGTGGGTTCCCAGCTTCCGCCTGACTACCTCCGCCATCATCTTCCTTGAGATACCTCCTCGGAAAGGAGTCAGGTCCTCTTCTATGACACTAGGAAAGAATGGGAATCGTCAAGGAAAGCAGGCCAAGGTGGTGGCACCGTTCTGCCTACTTCCTTGGGTTTAGGGTTAGTATAAAGGACAGAGTAAGCTGAGGGAAAGAATAGAGGGCAGGAACGAGTACCCTTTCCCCTAGAAACACCTTAGGGAATCTAAAACATCACCAGCACCAGAGTCACCAAACGGAAAAAGCAAGTAAATTTCTCTTCTTCCTCCTCCATCTGCATTGCCCCTCCCTTGCCTGATGCATATTCCACCTTCCCTTCACAAGCCACATTCGCGTGCTCCAGTCACTGCAGCCCACTGACGTCCCCTCCTCTGAATCCCACAGAAGGTATAGCTTATGCCTTGCATTCTGACACTGTCTGACTCCCTTGTTCTGGTCTGTCTGGCTCCTACCCACCCCACCCTAAACCATAGCAGCCTAACAGCAATAACAAAAAATTACATTTGTTTTTTTTTTTTTACTGATTTTTTTTTCTTTCTTTCTTTTTTTTTTTTGGAAGAGAGATAGAGAGATGGAAACACTGATGGGCTGACTCCTGCAGGTACCCTACTGGGGAGTGAGCCTGCAACCCTGGCATGTACCCTGACTTGGATCAAACTGGGGACTCTTGGTTCAAGGGGTGATGCTCAACCACCAAGCAACACTGGCCAGGCAAATTACACTATTTTGAATCCCTTTTATGAAGTTCAATACATAGTAAGCTTTTAATAAGTATCATAAGCACTAGGTGAATTTTTTGAGGAGCTGTGGAATACTATATAATAAAAGGGTAATATGCAAACTGACCCTAACAGCAGAACGACTGGAAATGACTGGTCACTATGACACACACTGACCACCAGGGGGCAGATGCTCAATGCAGGAGCTGCCCCTTGGTGGTCAGTGCGCTCCCACAGGGGGAGCTCTGCTCAGCCACAAGCCAGGCTGACGGCTGCCAGCACAGTGGTGGTGGCGTGAGCCTCTCCCACCTCCTCAGCAGCGCTAAGGATGTCCGACTGCAGCTCAGGCCTGCTCCCCGCTGGCAAGTGGACATCCTCCGAGGGCTCCCAAGCTGCCAGAGGGATGTCTGACTGCCAGCTTAGGCCCAATCCCCCTGGGGGCCTCTAGTAACATAATAAGTAGCTAAAGGACTCTGATATTCAGCTGATGCAGAAGCTGAGACCCAGAGAAGTTAAGTGGCTGGCCATGGGGATAATGAGTGGGAGTTCTGAGACTAGAAGTGATTATTGCTTTCGGAGTACTCTTTCTCCCACACTCCAGCCCTAATTTGCAAACTTTAAAAATAATCAACAGGAAAGGTATAATTAGATTCATTCATAAATACATTCATTCTTTCAACAATATTTATTGAGTACTTGCTGAGAGCCACACCAGGGATACAACGGTGAATGACCTGAAGAAGCTTTCAGTCCAGTGGGAAAAACAAACAAGCCAAGATACTGACCCCCACAAGGAGGGAGGGGGGGCGGGGAGAAGGCTGAGACCACCTGGGCCTCTCCCATCCCAGGGCATTTTTATTCCCTAGAAATAGGAAATCACCTCAGGAACCCCATCTGCTTTCACAAATATGCTTGGCTCTCTGACCACTGCAACCAAGGCCTCTTAGCGATCTTAGGGGACTTGCTTGTGACAAGAACTAAATTCTCAAAAACAAATAAATCAAAGAACTGACTCACCCATGGTAGCAGCTGCAGTTTTGACTTGAACATGGTTCATAATTCTCCAAAGACCTGTTAATTTGGTCAATAAATACTTTCCATTTTGAACCTTCAAAAAGGGAAATGAATCAAAGTTAACAAAATACCCCCCGAACATTCTTACTTGCTAGTGGCAGACAGGCAGAACCAACAGACGGCCGAAAGTTCTAGACACCCGGCTTCCCACCCCACTGGTGGAAACGCAAACCTAGGAAGGATTCCTGCTGTAACTCTCCAGCATGTCTGCTCCTGCACTCGGCTGACAGGTATCCAAGAAACTGGAAACTTCCCCAGCTTAATGCCTGACGCCCAGAAGGCTACGGATATACAGTACTGCACTGGTGAGTTACACCGATTCCCACCGTTTACTAACAAAACCGAGTCCTACAAAGAGGATCAATTAAAAGCCACAGACATTAACCCTCCCTTCACCTCTTCTGGCAATGGTCTGAGAAAACACACACCACACAGCCACCCCGTGCACGGGGTTTACCCCCAGAGTGTTCTAGCGGGGTGCAGAGCTGCCAAGCGCGGGCGATGCCTGCTGTGGATGACCAGAGGGATTCCCTCTCCTCCCCACTGTCACTCGGAACCCCGGAGAACCGCTTACTCTCCGGGACCCGGGGCAGGAGAGGCAGCGGCAGACTCCCACTCTCCGCCCCAAGCCCCCTCCCTCCCCACCCGCACATCCTGCCGCCCCTGTGCCCGGCGGCCAGCTCCGCAGGCATCGCGGCCACTGCGGAGCAAAGAGGCAGGAGAGCGCCTCTGCACCGAGCCAGCCCCAGCTCCGCTCTGCCCGCCCGCCCGGGCCCACCTGACTCCTTCTGGCGGCCCTGCACCGGGGACAGGAGCAGCACCAGCAGCCACAGCCCCCGCGGGCAGCGCGCGCACGGCTCCATCGCCGGAGCCGCTGCGGAATCCCGCGGTGCCACCCGCGGAAGCGCCGCCCCGCACAAACATGGGAGCCGCACCACGTGCACGGGCGCCCCGCACAGAGATGGCGGGTGGCCTCCGCCTCCCCGCCCCCAGGTCCCAGCCCGCAGGCGGTTTCCCGGGACTGCTCGCCTGGAACCCAGGGCTTCTTCCCAGCGCTCTGTGCACGCGCTGTTCTGCAGGCCGGGTGGTCCTGCGCCTCGGTTTAGAGCAGTGGTTCTCAACCTTGGCTGCACATTAGAATCACCTGGGAATCTTTTTAAAATCCTGATTTCTGGGCTTCATCCTCTGGAAATTCTGTTTGTTTGTTACTAATGTTGTGGCCCCACCCCATAACAAAGAAACAGAATTTCCGGAGGATGAGGCCCAGAAACCAGGATTTTAAAAAGATTCCCAGGTGATTCTAATGCGCAGCCAAGGTTGAGAACCACTGGTTTAGAGCCAAGCTCTACGGTTCGCTCTCCAAGGGGACCAAGAGTTTGCCTTTTGGGATATTGATTTTAAGTTGTTTCTTAAGAAACAAGAGACTCAGAAAGAATCTTTGTCTGCATAAGCGATTCCGATAGAAAGGCCTGCTCTAGGAAGGGGATCCTAATGTTCGCCTTAGCTTAGTTTGAATTAAGGGTGGTAAATGCAGGGCCCTATTAGCTAGATACCTACTGTGCCCCGATGTTTCTTGAGTTACCTTGTAAGAATTTGCCTGTCGTGTGTATTCCACTCTTCCTCAACTACTGGTAAATAGCCCATTCTCACTTCTGAAATCTAAGATTCCCCCATCACCACCCCCCTTTTCTCATGATACATATGTCCAACGTTGTCTCACTATCTTTGGAATTTTCATGCTTATGAGTTCCCTATGCACATGTATTAAAATTTTATTTCCTCCTGTTAATCTGTTTCTGTTAATTTGATTATTAGCCCAGCTAGAAAAACTTAGAAGGTAGGAGGAGGGGGAAGATATATATATATATATTAGAGGCCCGGTGCACAAAAATTTGTGCACTCAGGCCGGGGGGTCCCTCAGCCCGGCCTGTGACCATTTGCAGTCCAGGACCCCTTGGGGGATGTCCACCTGTCGATTTAGGCCCACTCCCCTGGGGATCAGGCCTAAGCTTGCAGTCAAACATCCTTCTGGCAGCCAGGGAGCCCTCGGGGGATGTCCAACTAAAGGTTTAGGCCACCGAGGAAGCTGGGGTGACAGAGGAGCCACGCTGTCCCGCCCCGCCGCCCTGGGTTGGGTCACACACGGGATGCCCGGGCAGGCCGGACGATCGCTTCTACCCTACCTGGCCGCCCCAGGTCAGGTCGCACATGGGACACCTGCCGCCCTGGGTCGCAGATAGCAGGCCTGGATGGCGGCAGGGCAGGTGGGATGGTGCTGTCCTGTCCTGCCTGCAGTATGCAAATTACCCGCCATCTTTGTTGGCGGTTAATTTGCATATCATGCTGATTAGCCAATGGGAGGTGTAGCGAAGGTACGATCAATTACCATGTTTGTCTATTATTAGAGAGGATATATATCCCATACTATAGTGTATAGCACTGTTAGACCCTAAGAGCTTGCAAATAGTATAGCATAGGTCTCCTTGTAATAGGAAGTGATAAGACAAGGAAAAATATCAGTGGGTAACATTATACCAGACGGTATAGCTGTTTAGGTGTATATATAGTGACCATAAAACTACAAGTTTTAACCATTGTCTAAAGTGTGCATAGTGACTGTTAGGTCCACACCAAAAGGAGCCAGGCCGAGAGATGCTGTGAGAGTTTAAGAAATGTTACCACATTCTCTCACAGCAGGCTGAGACCAGTGTTGGTGTCAGACCTGACGGGGTGGTTAGGTTCTCTTATATAGGGTAGAAGTATGCAATATAGGGTCAGGATGTGGGTGTGAGAGTCGGTCAGTTGGAGGGGAGGTCCACAATGGTCAAGGGAGAAGAGTGCCCAGGTCGATCAGGTGGAAAGAAATTCTTCTCATCCTGCCTCTGCAGGCATCCGTCGTCTGCTCAGACCTATGGGAACAGCTTATAACAATATATATTTCAGAAAACATGTCCAAACAGGAGAGATTAGGGGTAGTTCATCCTAACAGTGACAGCTTTAGGCTCTATGGAAATACATGGAAGACCAAGATGAGATCTGTGCCCTCAAGGGGCTTAGAACTAGTGGGAAGACAAATAGGATTCCCAGAGATACTAGTAACTTACAATTCTAGGCAATAAGTAAATGTTCCTGGTTTCAGTGGAGGGAAAGATCAACATGAACTGGACATCTGGAGAAAGGGGTAAGAGAGGTATATTCCAGGTTAAAAAAAAAAAAAAAGAAAGAAAATATTGCAGTGAAAGAATATTGTGCTGGAGACACTAAAAAGGGAAAAGCCATAATCTGCAGAGGGTGGGGGTAGGACTTGGGGTGTTGGTAGTGGAGGGCAAAACTTAGGATGCATGTTGAAGAATGATGAAAGACAAAATAATATTGATTAACTAGGAATAGGCCATGTCACTCACTTTGGGCGAGGAGAAAATAGATCTCCAATACTATCATACAAGACTTCTTCGGGAATCCAAATGAAAACTTGAGTCGAAGTTTCTTTTATTTCTAGGAAGGTGTGCAGAACTTCAAAATGAATATTCATCAAAAGTAATGACAAGGCAGTGTACTCTATAAATGAACAACACAATAACCTTCATTTTCAAAGTTACTCTAAAATGAATATACAGGCATAGGCAAAAGTAGGGTTACAGTTATGAGCACTCATAACAGTTTATTCTTGCATTATTATTTATTATGGTATTATTTTCCATGTGAGCCACTGTAAACCTACTTTTGTCCACCCTTGTAGTGGAGAATAATTTTTAAAACTTGAATAAAAGAGCTTTTCTTTTTCCACAAGTAAGGATTTCTGTGGTCAGAAGAAAATGGAAATCACCTTGTGTTACAATGAAAATATTTTCTGCAATTTTGCAATATTTAGCTCTGTGAAAGGAGGGCAGTGAGGTTGGGAGTGAAGTGGGCCCTCTGCACAGGAGGAACACGCTGCATGTGAATCCATGTAATAGTTTCATTTCCTTAACAGGTAAGGTATTTCATTCCAGTGGTTCCTAGGTGTAATAAGTACCAGAATCCTAGAGTTTGTGAAAAATCACAGATTTCTAGGTCCTATGCCAGCTACTAGTTTAAAATGCAAACACTATGGTTTAAAAGATCCTCCATGTTCAAACTCCTAGTGGTCTTCAAAGTAATTTCATGCCAGAATCAAGAAAAAAAAAATCCTGAGATGTTCTAAGTTAAAATTAGTGAGCGAAAGAGAACAGTTAGCCTGTTAATAGTTGTATACCAGCTCTGACAAGGCCGCTCATATTCTTATATATCTGTTGGAATTTAGGATTAATTTCCAGGTGGCTATTTCCATGATTATTCACTTTTTTTCAATTACAAACATTCAATATTATTTTATGTTAGTTTCAACTATACAGCATAGTGATTAGACATTTATATAATTTATGAAGTGATTCTCCCATAAATTCAGTACCCACCAGGCACTACACATAGTGATTACAATAACTGTGCTCTACTTTATATCTCTGTGACTAGTTTGTAACTACCAGTTTGTACTTCTTAATGCCTTCCCCTTTTTCACCCTGCCTGCTAACCCCCTTCCCATCTGTCAACCATCAGTTTGTTCTCTATGAGTCTGTTTCTGTTTTATTTTGTTCTTTAGATTCCACATATAAGTGAAATCATATGGTACAGTATTTGTCTTTCTCTGACTTAATTCACTTAGCACAATACCCTCTAGGTTCATCCATGTTGTCACAAATGGATGTTCATTCTTTTTTATGACTGAGTAATATTTCATTGTATATATGTACCTACATCTTCTTTATCCAGACATTTAGGTTGCTTCCATATCTTGGTAAATAATGCTGTGGCGGGGATGGGGGGGGGCTTCTAATTGCTCAATGAGATGCTGCCCAATTAATGGAATGCTTAATAAACCCAATTATATCTTCAAAAAACAAAATGCTGCAGTGAACGTCGGGGTACATATATCTTTTTGAATTAGTGTTTTGGATTTCTTCAGATAATTACCCAGGAGTGGAATTGCTGGGTCACAAAGTAGTTCTAGTTCTACATTTTTGAGAACCTTACATACTGTTTTCTATAATGGCTGCATCAATTTGCCACAATTATCCACTTAATAACACATGAATTTTCCAGTCTGCAGCTTACAGCTCATCCACAGCAGCAGACACTTCTTCCCGGCATATTCTGCTGAGCTTATCCCAGAACTAACTCTGCTTCCCTTTTTCCCATTGTCTTTATCTAAGGCTAATGTAAATCTTTCAGAACAGCTCACATCTTTCTCCCTGCCCCCATCCCCGCAACTGCCTTCTTTTTTTTTTTTTTTAAATATATTTTATTGATTTTTTACAGAGAGGAAGGGAGAGAGATAGTCAGAAACATCGATGAGAGAGAAACATCGATTAGTTGCCTCCTGCACATCTCCTACTGGGGATATGCCCGCAACTCAGGTACATGCCCTTGACCGGAATCGAACCTGGGACCCTTTAGTCCGCAGGCCGACGCTCTATCCACTGAGCCAAACCGGTTTCGGCCCCGCAACTGCCTTCTTGATGTATAATTTGAAAAATTTTGAGGTAATGGAGGTCATGTCCCAAGACTAGTCTTCTTTTTCGGCCAACAGTTTTGGCCCTTTAATAAACCTTTCTTACAAAAGACTTTCAGCTGTGGGAGTTAAATTATTTGTTAACACCACATTTCCCTTTGCTCACCATGATCTAGCTATACAATTTTGTGTTAAGTTTCTCAAACATGGCAAGCTCTAACCCACCTTAGAATCTCTGCATAACTTTTGCTTTTTATCTTGAGTCCGCAGGCCAACGCTCTATCCACTGAGCCAAACCGGTTAGGGCCTGCTTTTTATCTAGATTGCTTTTCTCTCCCATCTTTGCATCTCTGGTTCCTTCCCAACATGTTGAAATGTCATTCCTTTAGACAGATATATCCCTTCAATATAGCACCCTCCTTATTGTCTACCTCACCCCCTTGTTTCCTTCATATCACAATCTCTATTTTATTTATTAAATAAATGTTTTCCTCATTAGAATACAAGCTGCAGGGGGGCAGAGACATATCTGTCTTGTTCACTAACACTATGTCTGGTCCATAATAGTCACTAAATAAATAAGTGGCAAAGGAGTTTCAATGTAGCAAGCTAGGAAACAGTTTACAGAAAAAATAAGAAAATATTTGTTGTCTCAGTGGTTGAGCGTTGATCTACCAATCAGGAGGTCAAGGTTCAATTCTGGTCAGGCACATTCCCAGCTTGCAGGCTTGATCCCTAGTAGGGGGTGTGTAGGTGGCAGCTGATCAATGATTCTCTCTCATCATTGATGTTTCTATCTCTCTCTCCCTCTCCCTTCCTCTCTGAAATCATTTTTTAAAATATGCAAAACTCCTTACACCTACAGGTGAATATGATGAAAGTATCTGTGTTGGATTTTGTATATTCATGTCTTCTAACTTCAATTTCCTCTGTAAACTAGGAACAAGGGTAGCATCAAAGCATTGAGATTTAAATGAAATATATAACTACTAGTCTAGTATCTGAGGCCAAAAAGAACTCTCTCGATAATGGTTAACTAGTCATTACCCAATACAAAGAGTTTTCTCTTAAGGCTCTTAAAATCTCTAGCGCGAGAGATCTCACACAAGTGCCCCTTTTGACACTTTTACGCTTCTTCTAATACCAAACTATTGGCAGTTTCTGATTTCATGATGCTGCTGTCCACCTCCTTACCTTATCTGAAAATTCCTCTACAGGCGCTTGGTAGGAGAAAGTCATTCTTGGAGTCTTGGTTTTTGATGGGGCAGAGGCCATTCGCTCAGAAAAGTGCCTTCTTCCCGAGCCCAGGCCCCTGCTGGCCACGCCCAGGATTTAACAAGACCCGACTTGCGCCTGGCCAATCGGCAGGGTCACAGCCAGCTCCCCTCCCCTCACTATGAAAGCCCGGATTTTCACATGGGTCTCACTCGGTTTCCGGTTGCTGCGTCGACTGGAGGTCCGGGTCGGGTTAGCTAACTCAATAAAGGACCCTCTGCTTTTGCATCGGACTGACTCCCTGGCATGGTTTCTTGGGGATCTTGAATTCTGGGCATAACAGTTTTATTATTTATTTATTTAGGAACATACAAACAAGGAGCATTCTTTGGAGTCTTGGTTTTAAACCCCAAGCTCTCTGTGAAGCTTTCCTGGGGAGACACCTCCCCACTCCCACGGAATTTATTACGCTGTCTGTCCAGACCTTGGGCAGAATATTAATGTTGCATTTATTTTAACAAATTGTAACTTTCTTTAGCATTGTAACATTTATTGCTACAATCTGTCTCTTCCACTGGACTGTGAGCTCTAGTCCTCTACAATAAGAGCATGACTGGAAGCTAAAGCAAGACTGTGCGACTTGGGCTCCCTTACTCAGCAGTGATGTGACCTTAGTGACGTCTCCCAACTTCCCTCATCTGTAAAAACGGGAGCGACAATGTGCAGACCTGTGACTTGGAGTCCAGGAGATTCCCAGAATGACCCTGCAGTGGTTCTCAACCTTCTGGCCCTTTAAATACAGTTCCTCATGTGACCAACCATAAAATTATTTTTGTTGCTACTTCATAACTGTCATGTTGCTACTGTTATGAATTGTAATGTAAATATCTGATATGCAGGATGGTCTTAGGCGACCCCTGTGAAAGGGTCCTTTGACCGCCAAAGGGGTCGCGACCCACAGGTTGAGAACCGCTGCTTAGGGACTGGGTCCCTGAGGCCCAACGAGGACGGACAGACATCCACCAGCGCTGGCTGGGAAGGCGGGACCACGAGTTCCGCGGAGCAGGCGCGTCCCACTGCGCAGGTGCAGGCAGGCGGGGCGGGGGGCTCGCTGGGGGCAGCGGGAGTAGTTCCGGGAGTCAGCTCGCCGCAGGGGCGCGCGGCCGTCGCGGGGCTGACGTCATCGCCGTGCGCTGCCACGTCTGCTCAGCCCCCCGGTAATGGAGGCTGAGGGAGAGTGCTGACGGCACTGGGCTCTGTTTGTAGCTTTAGCTCTGGCTCTGGCTCTGCCGCTGACGCAGGGTCTGGGTCTAAGTCTGGGTCTGGCAGCTCGAAGCGTGGACATCTTTTCTTCTCCTCTGTGGGCTGGACGGCCTGCGGACAAGCACTCGGTTTGGAGCGCCTCGACGCGGGGAGGGAGTTCTCTTGCTTGGGGTCTCTCGCGTCAAGCTGCTGCCTGCTCCCAGGGATCCCGCCCCACCGGCCGGGCCTCCTCCATGCGTGAGTCTAACGGCACCGCCGTGCTGTCCGTCTGTCCGAGGCCTGCTTCGGCTCTCCGGGTGGCGGGGCGGGACCGCTCGTCCCCTCTTTGGGGGCCGGTCTATTGGAGTTGGTAGCCTCTCGCCATCCCTCCTGCATCCTCTCGCCCCTTCCGTTCCGGGTTTTTTTGCTCCACACCTTTCTTTCCCTGTGAGCGAGGACCGGCAGTCGCTGCCTACATCCAGCGGTTTGGATAAAGCTATGGGGATAGTGCAGTCTGCGCAGTGTTTTGAAAGCCAGAGGCTGTGGGTTGTGTGTGTGTGTGTGTGTGTGTGTGTGTGTGTGTGTGTTTACGGTGTCGTTCTTTAGTTTTTAAATTGTATTGTTTAGTAGACAGATGTTCGTATCCATATTGGAGGAGCCGTGGTTTTGCCAGATCGACGAGGACAGTTTCTTTTTTTCAGCCAGGATCTTCATCTGTGACTTACCTTTTCCTCGTGCAGGTTCAGTAATTTCTAAGAAATCCTCCATACGTTTTTCTGGAGTGGGCATCCACTTGAGCGCCTGCCAATGGTTTCACTCTAGCATTGAGATACCATTTGAACAGTTTTACAGAGTTAAAAGGGTGGACCGGTGTACTCACATCCATCATTGTCAGTCCCGACAACAACCTCTGTGGGACAGGGAACACTCCCCCCCTCCCCCCTTCTGATAAGGAAGCGGAAAGTCAGATAATATGTAACACATCTGAGCCAGAACCAGATGGCTTGGTAACTAAAGGTAACATTTTGGACAGTGCTGATTCTCCGGTATTTCAAGGGCCTTACTGTGAAATAATTACATTTGAATTGGAAGTGTTTGTATTAGGTGTTTCTTGTAAATTTGTACCTGATTGTGGTATCTTTCATGTGCTGTACTTAACTGACAAAAGATACAAAGTGTGACTTCCCTAGTGCTGAACACACCTTCGATCAGCACTTATGCTTTTGATCTGTTAGAGTTCGAGTAGTCATTTCATTAGAATAAAGTAGGTAATAGATACTGAGAGCATTTGTTTGAAAATCTGGTTTTACAAGCCCCATTCACTCAGTTTTTCTGGTGGTTTTCTTACATTGCTTAGTTTAAAAAATAGTAAACTGACATTTAAATCTGTGTGTTTTTTGTTTGTTTTGTTTTGTTATTGTTCAGAGTTGAAACAGGTTGACAACCATTGACCTGGGTTGCAGCTACAGGTGGCACTGGAAGCAGACTGGTTTCCGGACATGCCCGGTGGAAGGAGGGGCCCTAGTCGGCAGCAGCTAAGCCGTTCAGCGTTACCTTCCTTACAGACTTTGGTTGGTGGGGGCTGCGGCAATGGAACAGGCCTGAGAAACAGGTAAAGAAGAAATAAGATTATTTGTAATTTGTAATATTCTCTGATCAGTAATACCTACATAGAAGTCATCATGCTATTCAGGTATTTGTTTATGAAGATTATTTCCTGACCCTGAAATAGAAATCCTGCCTTGAAAACTGAAAGCTAGCTCAGTATTTCAGAATACTTGGGAGGCAGAGAGTTGTGATATGGGGCCCACAGAGTGAAAGCAGTCCAATCCTTAGTTATGGTTCATAATTCAAATTCTAGTCATCACCTTTTTAGCTATTAAAGGACGGGAGGAGCCCTAGCCAGTTTTGTGCAGTGGTTAGAGTGTTGGCTCATGGACTGAAGGGTCCTAGATTCAATTCCATTCAAGGTCATGTACCAGGGTTGCAGGCTCGATCCACAGCCCTGGTCGGGTTGTATGCGGGAGGCAACCCATCAGTGTGTCTCTCTCACATTGATGTTTCTCTGTATCTCCCCCTCCCACCCACTCTCTCTAAAAGTCAGTGGAAAAAATATCCTCAGGTGAGGATTAACAAAAAAATAATAATAATAATAAAAGAAGGAAGGAATGAATTAAAGTACAAGGCTTTTATTTTTTGGAGGGCAAATTAAAGCTAGCAGTTTATATGAGATTCTAAAATTGTAAGTCATATTCCACCAAGGGTCCTACAAATTATATTCTTCAAAAAATTGTTTGAAATTAATAAACTCTCAGCTGTAACTTAAACATCTTAAGATTTGTGTCATGTTGTATGAGAATAAATAACATAATTTTTTTGTTTTGTTTTATTCTCATTTGAGTATATTTTTTCCATTGATTTTGAGAGAGAAATTGGGAGGGAGAGAAGAGAGGAGGGAGTGGAGAGAGAGAGAGAGAAACATTGATGTGAGAGAGAATCATTGATTGGCTGCCTCTTGCACACACATCCCCTCCCACTGGGGATCAAGCAGGAAACCTGGGCATATGCCCTGACTGGGAATTGAACCCTGGCCTCCTGGTTCATACATCTATGTTCAACCACTGAGCCACATCAGCTGGGCTTTAATTGATTTTTTTAGAGAGGGAGAGGAAGGGAAGGGAGAGAGAAACATCAATTTGTTGTTCCACTTATTCCCCCATTGATTGATTCTTGTATATGCTCTGACTGGGGATCGAACTCACAAGTTTGGTTTGTCGGGTCAGTGCTCTAAACAACTGAGCTACCTGGTCAGTGCAGCTCTGCCTCTATAGTAACTCCAGCAGTTCTTTGTTCTTCTGCTTGGGCTTTGAGGATTCCCCTAGATAATTATGTTCTCAAATTGTCCCGTGGAATTCCTCCTCAGTGTCTCAGGGTGGCAGGCCTAGCAATCTAGGCTTCAGGTTTCTTAGCTCTCTCTTAATCAGACGAACTCCTCCTATGAGTTTTAAGTATTGGGATACCATGTAAAATTTCATTTGGGGAGAAAAAAAAGAAGTGTTCTGCTATTAAAAAGCTGAAAACCACATTCCTAGATGATTATGCTCGTACTTAAAGTATGCAAGTAGAGTACTGGGAAGAACTAGGAACATTTGGAAATTACCTCTGCTCTTAGGTGGTTTTAGCTATGATCATGTTTGCTTTTCTCTGCCTTCCTTGTAGCCCTTTATCCTGGCCTTCAAAGTTCCCATCGTGGTTGCCTTGACCTACCATTCTTCATCTGCTCTCCTCCTTTAACATATATTTCTTTAGCAATTAACTGGGGTGGTGAGGAGGAAAACATTTTTCAACAGATTAGGATAAAGTGAAAGATCATACTTGTTCACGGTTTGCAAAGTCACTGTTACTGAGTGACTATTTTGTGACATTTTTACCTAAAGAGGATATTTTGGGAGAAGATAGTCTATATTTGTTTCTTTTTTTTAAAAAAAATATTTTTATTGATTTCAAAGAGGGAGAGGGAGAGAGAGATAGAAACATTGATGATGAGAGAGAATCATTGATCAGCTGCCTCCTGCATGTCCCCTACTGGGGATTGAGCCCGCAACCCAGGCACGTGCCCTTGACCGGAATTGAACCTGGGACCCTTCAGTCTGCAGGCCAACACTCTATCCACTGAGCCAAAGCACCTAGGGCCTGTATTTGTTTCTTGATGGGAAAGAAGCAGCCTAGAAGACCCGGGGTAGAGTTATAAAAAATAGGGATAAAAACCAGCGGTAGACTAGAATATAGTTTCAGGCAGGATGTATACAAAGATAGGGTCCAGATGGGGAGAACTCTCTTCTGG